TCAAAAATTCTAATATTTTACTTAATTACTCAATTGGGAATATACATAGCAATCATCACCCACTAATGGCAGATTAATTCCCCAGGTACCTAGCAAAGGAGACTATTCTGATCTCTTGTTGAGTTTTCACCTGGTTAAACTAAATAAACTTGAACTTGTAGAGTATGGTTGGCAATGATTGTTTCATCGGTTTGCATTGTTGTAACAGCTAACCAGACGTTCAGCAAACTGGACCAGTACTCTCCCTATCAGTCCGGCTGGAAAGGACAAATGAATAACAAGTCGCATTATCCCTATGCTTTGTGGAATATGAAGAGACATTTGACATCCATGTAGTCATCCAAACTCTACAAACCAAGGCCAAAATAAAATACAAAAAATATAATTAAACTAATTTACAAAAGTACAATGGCTACATTGAGATTGCTTGAAGTAATAATACAGTACATTAGAATTGGAGTCAGGTTATTCAAAGTTATTCATAGCAATATTCAATTTTTCCAAAAACTGGTCGCCCAAATAGGATTATTCCCTAAAAATGCTTAGTACATATTTATCTAACATACTACAAACTTACATGCTTTTATGACAAAGTACATAACTGTTCCACACATGCCCCACTATGAGATTATTGGACCAATTTAGCAATTACAGACAAACGTGACCCTCACAGTAGGCCTAAGTTTAATGACATCCTTAATATGTGAATGTTAACAATCTACAATTGAAGCAGTAAGTTCAACCCACACAAGTAAATATACTCTGCAAAAGTACCCAAGATAATTACCACATTTAATGCGTTTAGATATTTATTCATGACACATCAACCACAATAACAATCCGTAGCTGTAAAACGATTAGAAGAAAATCCTACACAAAAAAGTATTCAGTTATTTACACATGTTTCAAAGGTGCACTTTGTCAATCATGGAATACATTTGTCCCATTTCGAGGACCATATTAAAACTCAGCCACTTCTAAAAGTGCCTTTGAGCATTGTTTTATAAATAGTCTAGCCTGGTGTTTGTTCAATACAAGTAACTACACAACTGAAGAATTGTTACAAACAATATTCCCACAGTTAACATGTAGGCTTTCGCGACCATTATTATTCATAATAAAGGTTTCTGGGTTATATCGCACTTATTATAAATGTGTCGTAACCCTGCACTACCCAAAATATATAACTAAACAAATATAGCCCTACATCGGTAGGACATCTTCATTTATAAGAAATTCAGAACATCTTGTAAATGCGATTAAAGATATTAAATGTAACTCGAATGATATTCTGGTGAGTTTTGATATTTCTCTATTCACTAAGGTTCCAGTTAATGAGTCTCTTACATTACTTGATACATTAGTAAAGAATACAGGTTTATCAAAAGATATTCCAAAACTAGCTGACCATTGTTTAAATAATACTTCTTATGGAGAGGTGATTTCTTTAAACAAAAGGAATGAGCAGCAATGGGCTCTCCTTTATCTCCTGCTATAGCAAATATGTACATGGAAAACTTTGAAACAAGAGCACTTGCCTCAAGTACATTAAAACCATCTTTTTGGTTTAGATATGTTGATGGCACTTTGGTTGTAAAGATACACCTTAATGATTTTCTAAATCATCGAAATGCACAAAACCCGGCCATCAAGTTCACCATGGAAACGGAGGTGAATAACACATTCCCTTTCCTAGATATTTTTTTTGGACATGGCCTAAATGGCAAAATAACACAGCGTTTAACGAAAGGGAACGCACACCGATGCCTATCTAAATACAGATTCACATCACCCAGCTCAGAAAGCCTCTCTTTATCAAGATGCTCATACATTGGGCTAAAACAGTGTCAAATGGTGAGAGTCTAGTGAGAGAGATTAAACATGTTAAAGAAGCACTATGCAGTCCCTCCAGAAAAACGCGATTATGCGATCGCAAGTTTCCACGCAAAATCAGCCAAAGTCCGCATATTTATGCGGGGGGCGCGTTTTTTCAAATACGCCGCACTTTCGCCGCATAAATTGCAGATTTCCGCGCGCAAAATATGCGGGCTTGCATGATTTCATAATCCCCGCATTTTCGTTGCAAAAAGTCACATATATCTTAGCAGGAAAGTTGCGTTTACTTCACACAAGCGCAGCCATTTCCCCTGTTGCCATGGGAACGTTATGAAGTGACGTCACTCATTACAGTTGTAAGATTGCACTTTTTTGTTAGTAGTATGTAAATTTACATTACTGTAAGACTGTACTGTTACTGTATTACTTACGTTACTGTGCACTGAAAACACTTATTTTAACAGAAGATGTCTGTTTTGTATAGCTACCTCTGTAAAACAGGAAGCACACATTTTATTTTTTAATATTTTATTTATTCATTTTTACAGAAGTAGTAGCATATTCATTTTGTAAAGCTACAGAACTTGTTCGACTCAATGTTTTGTAAGTTTGAGCCATCTGTTTGTTAAGGTCTGAAATAAAACAAGATGAGAACTTAAATATTCCCAGCACTTTCTGTGATGTAGTATGCTTGCTTATCATAGGAAGTAATACGAAATGACTCTTTACATTAAAGTAGTAGCCTAGTGAATAGGGTGTTGGGGGAATCACTTTTTTTTCTCTTTTTCATCAAACCGCAGTTTTTGCAAGTTCCCGCAATTTAATCGCATAAAATTGCATAAATATCCCGCATATTCCATCGCATTTTTTAAGAAAACGTGCCGCATAATCAACGATTTTTGCCCGCAACAATCACCAAAAAACTCCGCGTTTTTCTGGAGGGACTGACTATGACAGAATGGCTACAATAATGCTCAAATTAACAGAGCACTGAATGCCAAATCACGATCGCAAAGCAACACTCCTGAAAGTGATCATATTATTAAAACAATTAAAATACCATATCTCAGGAGTAACTGACAAATTACCCCGTGTTTTGCAAAAGCAAAACATTAAACTAAGATTTGGTACAGTACACAAAATTAAAAAACTAGTATCTTGTACTGAAGACGAATTACCTAAAATATCAACAGAAGGTGTATAACGGTTTATTGCTTATGTGGCAGATGCTATATTGGACAGACAGGATATAACATCAGCGTAAGACTAAAAGAACACCAAAGAAATATTAAATTATCTCAAACACAACTTGTTGGCAGTGGCAGAACATGCTTGCCAACAAGGCCACTCAATTGATTTTGATAACCTTGAAGTGTTGTGTAAAACTAATTATTTCAATCTTGATTTGAATTTGAAGCTTTCGTGACTGCAGGAATCCATACTCTTTGGTTCTTTTGGTCAAGTCACATAGGTAGAAAAAATTAAATAAAAAATAATATATTCCAACGTTTTGATTGCAACACAAGTGGTCGTCCTCAGGCAGAAAAAATAATCCAACAGTGGAACTGCTGAGCCAGGAAGAACACAGCGAAAGAGCTGTTACAACAAGAGGTTATATATGTGGCGAAGGGCAAGCAGGCGGGTTCTGAGCTGGAAAGGAATTCCATCCCCGCACGCAAGCACGTCAGTTGTGTTCATGGGGGAGATTAGGGAGAGAGATTCGGGAGAGAGATTAGCATGAAATGAGCTTCCATCGCCGATGTTGGATTGCGAGTGTTTTTGAAGATGAGAACATTTTTTAAATAAATATTAATTTGATAACCGAGCGAGGTCTTGCAATACGAGTACTGTACTACGTACAGTATACACTTTGTCTGCCGAGCATCACGTGATCACAACTGAGCCAATGGTTCTTCTCTCTCTCGCCGCGGGATTGTGGGTAATCGTCTCCCATGCTCGGTCTCAGTCGGTGTGCCTCACTCAGATCGTCGACATCCGTGCGAGCGTATACTGTTTACTATAGTGTTGTGACCACGTGTGTGTGTGTAAGGCATTTATCTATTTTGTGTCCAAGTGTAGTGACTGTTCTTTAGTAACTGTACTGCAACAATGGCCCCCTCCTCCTCTCCTCTCCCTCACACCAGCCACGATTAAATGTAATTCATGAACTTGATTACTTTATATTAAATTTAAATAATACAAATTTAAAAAGGTATTTTGTATTAATTTTTATATAAATACAGTATTTTTGGGTTGTGGAACGAATCATCTGAGTTTCCATTATTTGTTATGTGGAAATTCGCTTTGATATACGAGTGCTTTGGATTACGAACACGTTTCCGGAACGAATTATGCTCGCAATCCAAGGTTTTACTCTATATGATTACAATAACCCCCTCCCCCCCCCCTCGGGTATAGTAATTGGGTTCAGTTATTAAACAATACACATTACAACTAATTACTAATCTACAACCGATTACTAATCATAACAATTAACTGTTTACTAATCTATTATATAATTAAAATACCCCCCCCCCCCTCTCCACCTCTGAGCTCTGCATCTGATTGGGTTAAATGATGACGTCAACCTGCTGCTCTATTTAAGACCGGGAGCAGGTGGAGGGCTTCACTATTCTGGCAAATTGCCCCATGATGCTGGATGTAATTACCAGCGAAACGTCGGATTAAAAAATTCTAAATGTTGTAGATTCACCCTTCAACACACCAGTGGGCTAAAGTAGTGAACTATTTGTCTTTTGTCAACATGACACATTTTTACTGATTGGCCGTTTTGGGTGGTGGCGGGTTATGACACATTTATAAATAACGCGATCTTACCCAAAACCTTTATGAATAGTATTCCCACAACCTGCGGACATGGCTATAACAGTCACTGAGTAAAACTAAAACAGTTTCTAAAGACTGCTCGAAGAAGACTACAAACTAAAATGCTAAAACGATTAATGTAATTGTCAGTTGCATGAAAAGTGTTAAGCGTTTATTTTTGCATGTAATGATCCATGAATTAACTAAAATCGATTCTCATGATTATGATAATCGTGCAAAAATTGATTATTTACATTTATTGAAATATTCTAATGTATGCACAACTGTGCAAGGGATGGCAAAAGAAGAGTAAAAAAGCACCACAGACAACATATTAGTCTTGAGTTACGGCCCCAAATAGTACTTGGGGGGTTGAATTTATTACATGTATATTTATATATCGTACAAATTATCACTGGAGTTTTAAACAAACAACACAAACTTGTAGAATGTTGTTCCCATAATCAACTCTTCGCTGGATTTAAAATAAATGCGTTTGCAAAAGCATTGCATTTAAAACGCACCCATATACTTTACGTTAACGGGCATCTTGTTTATTTCCGAGTCAAGCCCGCCATCTTTCGTGTCGAAACCCTGGTGATGGGGGCCTCCTCCGACATGGGGGGTCGTCGGTAAGACTTCCTTTGAGTGAGGAGCCAGCCATTGAGTTGTAGTCTGCGGCAAAAAAAAAAAAGTGTTTGTCAAATGTTAAACCAAAATATGTAATTCTCGAACAGAATAATGTACATATTTTTGGTTCTTTCGGTAAAGTCACGTAGAAGGGAGATAATAAAATAATATAAATATGAAACAATAAAAATTATCACGACGTTTCGACTGAAACACAAGCAATCATCATCAGGTGTGAAATCCACAGCAAGAACATTTGAAAAAAGTGGCGGTTTTTCCTAACGTGGAAAAAAACGCCACTTTTCCACGTTAGGAAAAACCGCCACTTTTTTCAAATTCGTAGTGAGAAAAGTGTTGTATCTATGCCCTGTTTTCCGTTATTAATATTAAGAATAATTAAGAAAAAAATATTTTTTTTTAACATCTATTTTTTTTTTAAAATTAAATAATGAAAACAACTCACGGGCACACCGGGAGTCCATGAGACATGGAGGGCGGTTGAAATGATAGGAATTCGGTCACAAAAAGGTCATAGACATCCAGACGGACAAAAAGATGTATGGACTAAACCTCCCGAGACATCTGGAGATGTACAGATAAGGTGCAGAGTGAATGACGGTTGAAGCTTCGCGTTTTCTTGGCGTTTTCCTAACCGAAAAGTAGAAACTTAACAGAAAGAATGAACCAACAAACAATAGGGGCTTTTTTATTAGTAATTCCCTTGTATTTCTCGTATTCACCGTATATATATTATTTTTGTATTGTATGTTTCTATCTACCTGACCAAAAAAATAATAATTACGAATTCCAACAGTTAAGGAAGCATAAGTGGAAACTTAGTTGCACTTAACCTCAGGACATTAAAATATAACTCAAGAATAAATGTAACATACAGGACCACATAATGTATTGCATACATCTCCTCGACCACCTTTGTCTTCCAGCGGTGTCTGACCTCAGAATGACCCACGCAGGGCAAGCAAGGAGGGATCAAAAAGGTCACAGGGGGGAATCGGTGCCTGACATTCCAAAGACATCTGTTTTGTTGTTTGTTTTCTCTCGCAAGAGACGCGGAGAGAGAGAAGGGAGTCACGTTTAAGTTAGGCACACACACAGCGAACGGGCAGTCTGGGTTGAGTCGTGCTCAGTCTCGCAACTCGGCGTGCGACGCAGCGTTGCGACGGGGCTCGCAAGAGAGTTGGGGCAGATCGTGCCTCGAGGAGAGATGGAACGAGGAGGGGTCGTTCGAGTCGCAGAAGTCTGAGTTCAACCTGGGTCGGGGCTGGGTTTCAGCCGTGCTCCGGCTGGCGGAGCGTCGTGAGGAAACGAAACACCGATGCTGATAGCAGATGTCGCTTCTCGCAGAACGAAGTTAAGTGCGAGTAAAGCTGGCAGCCGCACGAACAAGGGGAAGCACGGAGCAGAGAGAGAGTGACGAGTGACGACAAGCAATCAACCTGTAAAAGGGCGGAGATCGCCAAGCGTCGACCAAGCGAGCAAAGCAGAGAGCGCGAAGCAGTGGAGGAAGCCTGGTCAAACGGCTGCGAGGGAGAGGACAGCGCCATCGAATGCGCCGTGTGCCTGAGGGCACACCGACCAACGACCAGTGTGAACACACAAGACGTCCAGATCGACCAAGCGAGCATCGTGCCGACTCAACAATCAATCGAGCAGTGGAGAAGCCGGGGGCTGCCACCAAGAAAGCGCGTGCGCCACCTTGCGCCACCGTGCGCCACCTTGCGCCACCCTGCGCCACCGGGCGCCACCGTGCGCCACCGAGCGACACCGAGCGACACCGAGCGACACGAGCGACCGAGCATCTTCAAGGAGAACATCGTGCCAACGCCGCTCAATCCAGCAGTGGAGAGAGAGAGAGAGAGCAAAAGCCGAGCGACACGCCGAGCGAGGGAGCAGCAGGAGCTTGCGGCGGCCACGCCCAATCGAGAGGAACACCTGGCCGCTGTTTGTATCCTCCTACACCACACAAGCTAACGACACAATTAATATTACGAGGGGACAACGCACACACAGCACGCACACGAATAAGACTTTAAAAGAAAAACTGTCTTTGCGTTTCAAAAAGGGTTGCCATTTCGAGGTGGTGCGTTCAATATCAACTGATCGTGCAAAGCAGTTGCTGCCGTCGAGCTGCATGAATAAGAAATGTTTAGTCATTCATTTTCGTTAACTGCATAATTTCGCCAATGATGAAGTATTTTTAGTCATTCAATTTCGTTAATTGCATAAGATTGCCCATGAATTTATTGACGTATACTCGCTTTCGCATACTAGAGTGTCATGTGCTTGTTTAGAATTAAAATTGCTTAACACCAACTGTTCGAGTGCTTCTTTCCAAGTCCATGCAAAACTGTCTTATTCTTGACAACTGTATTCTGCGTTGAGATTTGAACTTGGTGACCTTAATAAACACACTAATACATACTCAGTAAATGTTAAAGCGATAACGGGGTGAACCGGGGTCTGGTTATCATAACGACTTGCGTTATCATAATTACACCCACTCGCATAATTAATACGATTACCTCTCGAATTGGCATAATTAAAATGTGCGTAATTACATAAATTAACATATTTCCGGATAATTACACATTTGGCCAAATTTCATTTAATTATTATTATTTCCACTGAATATTCATAACCCACATATACAACATAATAATTTCACCCACGCACGCATACAACATAACAAATTTTCATACCCAACATATACAACATAATGGGTGGCGTCGTCCGGGATCTCTCGCAGACAGTGTTTTGCATGGATGATGGAATGAATCACTTCGTGTTAACCAGAATATCAGGATCGAACATTGCATGGTAATTGTGAACGGGCGGAAAACAAAAAACCGCCCTCTAAGGTTAAAACCCAGAATAGCAGGTTAAAACAGAGACAGTGGAATTAAGATAATATCGTATCAAACCAATTGCATCCTGTGATAAATGGTGTTAGAGGTACGCACTCTGAATCGGAAAATAACAGATAGCTCGAGTCGAATTGACTACACTCTGTGAGATAATTGTTTATATGCACTCTGAAAAGAAATGTCAAAGTAACTTCCGCCATACCTAAGATGCTAGGATTAAGAATAATTTTTGAATGGGTTACGGGAAACGGGGAGCTCGTATTTAAACGTACCGACCAATCTGTTACAAAGCAGTACAGTCAGAGAGACATATGGGAAGGGAGCTGTATCGATAACACGAACACACCTCGGGGGAAACTAATTGACTGGATAAAAGGTAACGAAGGCGAACACGATGTAAAAACTGCAGGAAAGGCAGGACAGGACTCATGCCTTCTCACACAGGCATACAGACAGGGATTGTGGAATGAGGGAAAATTTGGAAAGGAAACGGGAGAGAAATCAGTGCTCGCGACACCAGCGAAACTCACAGACGTTGATCCACAGAATAAATATGGAAGTAACATTAAATCACACTCTTGGGTACGTGGACAGAGTCCAGGGACTAATCGCACAAAAATTATGGATATCGAACAAAAAATCATTGACAAAGGGAAACCCTCACAATTCGAGAGAAGGGATGGAGAGATACATATGCAAACAAAAACATGTGAGACTGACAACTTCACAGATAGAGGGAGGAAAAATGTTAAAGTAAAATCGCCAGGACATGGTACACTAAGGGCAGAGGCAAAAACTGAAGGGAAATGGCAACACGAGCGACACGGCACTGGGCGCGCACACAGAAAATGCACACCACTTAAACACAAGCGACACAGCACAGACCAAAGTGACAGATTGCCTGATGATAACTTGTTTGATGATGACGCTGTCGGCAATCAACTTTCGGAATACCTATTCACCAGTAAAACCCTTAAATTGATGGACAAGGCTCTAGTCAGAATTCCCGATTTTGACCCCCACAATAAGACTATGGATATCCACACACATATCGCAACCGTAGAAGAGGAGGCAATGATTAGAGGGCTGAGGAGACGGGATGAAAAAGCGAGTTTGTTGAAACGGACCTTACATAAAGAATCTATTCCATGGGTAAAGTCACTACCACACAAGGTTAGAAATGATTTTAAACAATTGAGCCTGGCAGTGATTCGGAAGTTTGGAGAATATTCGACACTCACTGAGGGGTTTTATGCTGTAAAATCGATGACCCAGGGCATGGACCAAGATCCACGTGACTACCTCGTCCAATTTAAAAGAGCGTATTATGCAGGCGATGTGAATCAATACCACGAAGGAGATAAAATGTTCAAAATTATGTTTTTTGAATCCTTGAGCCCAGAGATTACAGAAAGGGTGAGGATGGTTTTGAATCCAGAAACCGCATCCTTACGCCGCATAGAGAGCAAGGCGTACATGGCATGGTTGTACAGAGCTAAGAATCATAATTCGGATCCAGAACACAGGGAGAGGGATGAGGAACCCAGCCTCTCAGAGAGGAATAAAAATCACCGAGCAGTCCCACAATGCAGGACAGAGCAGAAACGCACGCACCCATGGCAAAATAACCCAGAGAGAGGTTGGCACGAGAATGAGAGCGGCACAAAGCCGAACATTCAGGAGAATCGCAGGAGGGGGAGGTTCAGAATAGAACCATACCAACACCCCATGCCACGACACACACAAGATCAAAATTACCCACAAAGATGGCGAGGTAACAATCCAGGAAAAATTTGGCACCCAAATGGGAGAAATACTGGGCTAAAAATGCACGAGAATCGCAGGAGGGAGAGGTTCAGAGCAGAACCATATCAACACCCCATCCCACGACACACGCAAGGTTCAAATTACGCACAGAGATGGCAAGATAACCACCTAGCGGGAAGGTGTTACACAGACCGCGGAGGTATGGATGCGAACATTCAGGAGAATCGCAGGATGGGAGGTCAAACACAATCGATCCAATTCCGACCAATTCCTCCACCGGCTATACCAAGAGGGAATAGAGGAATAACACAGAATGCGGTCCAAATACGTGATGAACCATCCACAGTGAGTGCGAGCGAGCGGCCAACACGCGCCCCACCCGCCGAGGTGTTAAACCCTGAGCAGGCTGCAAGTGACAGGGCTGAATTGAAGTGTGATCGGACGGTGGATAGCAGACAGCAGAGACAAAGAGAGAACACAGAGACACGCCCTGAGGAGCGCAGGCGTGAGCCTTTGAATGGAAAATATCCAAGGGAAACCAAAATGTATGTGGATCGGAGTGCTAAAATGGAGACGAATGTTCATGACATATCAGGAATGGTGTTGGAATCTAACACACTCGTAAAAACAAAGAGGGCAACATTACGAGGCACAGAATTAAGTCGACACACTGACTCGGCAAATGTGCATGTAATCGCAGAGAGAGCGAATGCCACGAACCAAGTGTCAAAATGGGTCGTGTGCGCGAATTCTGGTTACGTGCAGCACAATTTTTCACCACACACTCCCACGACGCGAGAGAGTGAGAGAGGAAACTACAAAAACGAACCCGAAAACCGTGATCGAATTATCAAAGTGATAAGTGGTAAACGAGGCAACATGAGGAAGGTAACGCATAAATGCGTTCGAAACCGCTACCTAGCGTTTCCCAGGATTTAACAAAAACAAAAATGAATATTCGTCGGAGTTATGATGTATGAGAACCATGTAACTGGTGATATCGATGTTTAACGTTTGTTTAATTTTCTTTGCTCAATTCAAATGTAACCATGTTAAGCAAAAACAAAAATGAACATTCGTCAGAGTTATGATGTATGAGAACCGATGTAACGCAATATCGATGTTTAACGTTTGTTTAATTTTCTTTACTCAATTCAAATGTAACCATATCAAGACTGTAATACGTGCACGCGCGTCGTAAGAAATAACCGCCGAGAGTGAGGGCGGCTGATGGATTTATAACAAAAAAAAACAGGGCATTTACTTTGTTTGAAAATTCGCCAGTGGCCGAATCAACCACTGATAATTTTCAAAAGGGCGGACTGTTGTATCTATGCCCTGTTTTCCGTTATTAATATTAAGAATAATTAAGAAAAAAATATTTTTTTTTAACATCTATTTTTTTTTTAAAATTAAATAATGAAAACAACTCACGGGCACACCGGGAGTCCATGAGACATGGAGGGCGGTTGAAATGATAGGAATTCGGTCACAAAAAGGTCATAGACATCCAGACGGACAAAAAGATGTATGGACTAAACCTCCCGAGACATCTGGAGATGTACAGATAAGGTGCAGAGTGAATGACGGTTGAAGCTTCGCGTTTTCTTGGCGTTTTCCTAACCGAAAAGTAGAAACTTAACAGAAAGAATGAACCAACAAACAATAGGGGCTTTTTTATTAGTAATTCCCTTGTATTTCTCGTATTCACCGTATATATATTATTTTTGTATTGTATGTTTCTATCTACCTGACCAAAAAAATAATAATTACGAATTCCAACAGTTAAGGAAGCATAAGTGGAAACTTAGTTGCACTTAACCTCAGGACATTAAAATATAACTCAAGAATAAATGTAACATACAGGACCACATAATGTATTGCATACATCTCCTCGACCACCTTTGTCTTCCAGCGGTGTCTGACCTCAGAATGACCCACGCAGGGCAAGCAAGGAGGGATCAAAAAGGTCACAGGGGGGAATCGGTGCCTGACATTCCAAAGACATCTGTTTTGTTGTTTGTTTTCTCTCGCAAGAGACGCGGAGAGAGAGAAGGGAGTCACGTTTAAGTTAGGCACACACACAGCGAACGGGCAGTCTGGGTTGAGTCGTGCTCAGTCTCGCAACTCGGCGTGCGACGCAGCGTTGCGACGGGGCTCGCAAGAGAGTTGGGGCAGATCGTGCCTCGAGGAGAGATGGAACGAGGAGGGGTCGTTCGAGTCGCAGAAGTCTGAGTTCAACCTGGGTCGGGGCTGGGTTTCAGCCGTGCTCCGGCTGGCGGAGCGTCGTGAGGAAACGAAACACCGATGCTGATAGCAGATGTCGCTTCTCGCAGAACGAAGTTAAGTGCGAGTAAAGCTGGCAGCCGCACGAACAAGGGGAAGCACGGAGCAGAGAGAGAGTGACGAGTGACGACAAGCAATCAACCTGTAAAAGGGCGGAGATCGCCAAGCGTCGACCAAGCGAGCAAAGCAGAGAGCGCGAAGCAGTGGAGGAAGCCTGGTCAAACGGCTGCGAGGGAGAGGACAGCGCCATCGAATGCGCCGTGTGCCTGAGGGCACACCGACCAACGACCAGTGTGAACACACAAGACGTCCAGATCGACCAAGCGAGCATCGTGCCGACTCAACAATCAATCGAGCAGTGGAGAAGCCGGGGGCTGCCACCAAGAAAGCGCGTGCGCCACCTTGCGCCACCGTGCGCCACCTTGCGCCACCCTGCGCCACCGGGCGCCACCGTGCGCCACCGAGCGACACCGAGCGACACCGAGCGACACGAGCGACCGAGCATCTTCAAGGAGAACATCGTGCCAACGCCGCTCAATCCAGCAGTGGAGAGAGAGAGAGAGAGCAAAAGCCGAGCGACACGCCGAGCGAGGGAGCAGCAGGAGCTTGCGGCGGCCACGCCCAATCGAGAGGAACACCTGGCCGCTGTTTGTATCCTCCTACACCACACAAGCTAACGACACAATTAATATTACGAGGGGACAACGCACACACAGCACGCACACGAATAAGACTTTAAAAGAAAAACTGTCTTTGCGTTTCAAAAAGGGTTGCCATTTCGAGGTGGTGCGTTCAATATCAACTGATCGTGCAAAGCAGTTGCTGCCGTCGAGCTGCATGAATAAGAAATGTTTAGTCATTCATTTTCGTTAACTGCATAATTTCGCCAATGATGAAGTATTTTTAGTCATTCAATTTCGTTAATTGCATAAGATTGCCCATGAATTTATTGACGTATACTCGCTTTCGCATACTAGAGTGTCATGTGCTTGTTTAGAATTAAAATTGCTTAACACCAACTGTTCGAGTGCTTCTTTCCAAGTCCATGCAAAACTGTCTTATTCTTGACAACTGTATCCTGTGATGAGATCTGAACCTGGAGAATTAAAATAATATAAACACACTAAGATAATCAGTAAATGTTTAATCGACGATAATCGTGTTATCCTGATTGATATAACCCTGGATAAACGAAACCAAGCCTAATTAACATAACTGCACACATTAACATAATCGCAAGCATCTGCATAAATTACTACGATTATCATAATTTATGCATATAATTACACGCATTGTCATAATTTATGCATGTTAATACACACACTATCATAATTAATGCGATTTGCGCATTTTTCGGAAAATTATTAATTTTTATTATTTTTATAAAAATTTCATAACCAACATATACAACAAAAGCAAAGTTAACAGCCACTTCGCAACTGTTTCACAAACACGGACTGTTTGACAGCCAATGCTTTGGGTGACTTCATCAATCCACCAGCCAATCGGCTTCAACGGGGATTTTGGAGTCAATTTTAATGGACACTAAATCTCTTCAGGGAAAAGAGCTAACTTCACATCTGACGAGATGGACACCCTTGTTTATTATGCGAGTGTCCACCGCTCTCAAATTGACTCAACATTTGTTGGCAACAGGAGCTGCTGCCGCTAAATGTTGACAACCACAACCATAAGTCACTCAAATCGCGGTGGTGAGATGTTAACTTCCTTGCCTGGTATACAGGAGGCTGTGGGTTCGATCCCTCCACCTGTATACAGCATTGAGTTTGCATGTTCCCCCTGTGATCACGTGCATTTTTCTCCATATCCTCTGGTTTTACCCTCCACTTTTATAAACATGCATTGGGAGTATTTGGCTGCTAAATATGTCCTCATGATAATCCACTTAATTGGGCTATCATTTATAGCCAGGTCACTTCTGAAAAAGAGCCTTATCTGCTAAAATAAGTTTTTACCACAATCACAAAAAGTGCACTAACATAACTACATACATAAAAACCTCTCAAACACAACTACAAAACGCAACAACTCCAAGAGAGAATACAAAGACATGCAACTGCCCAAACACCTACAAACATGGGGGCACTATCCTTGCATGCAGCTGTGTCAGAGTGATAGCAGACTTAAGGCTACTCTGTATCATTCGCACATTCTTTCGGAAATGTATGCAATCCCCGTGCGCAAATCCCGTGGGGAATTCGGAAATGCGGAAACGTGGGCCTGCACAACCCTAAACCGTTGTGTACGCAGTCCACTGGTGTAACAATCGGTGGCTGCTCCAATTCGGATCTCAGAGCTGCCTGCTGTGCCGACATGGCAATACTGTAGCCGAGACACCAAGCAAGCCTCACCTGTCTTATCCGACTACGGCCAGATTCACATATTGCCAAATTAGCAAAAACACATCACTTCTCAGATCTGCACCAATATTTGGTGCAGGAAAAAGACATTTTCCAACATGGGAATCAATATCAAGATCTTCATGCAGTGGCATTGTGCGTCACAAACTTATACTGCTCATCACACGTTACCTGCGGTCCTCTTCAGACGTCGGTCTTTCTTGCTGCATCTTGGCTCCAGAATTATTCTGCGGTGGAGTGGAGGGGTTTCTCGTCATCTGGAGTTGTCTGGAGCGGTTCGACTTTATTGTGGCCTTGTCAGGGTTGCTTTTGGCCACAATTTTCTGCGCCACTCGCTGCTGTGCCGGCCGTGGCGGGCTCTGTGGGCGAGCAAGAGGGACAGCCCCTGTCCGAGAAGCAATGGCTGGTCGGCTTCTCAAGACGCGTGGTGGTGTTCTCTGTGTGGGGACCAGGTGCACGGGTGGACTGGGGACCACGAGTGGACTGGGAACTAAGTCCACCAATGCAGGTGAAATTAAACAATTTTCTACCTGTTCAGTTCTTCCAGAAATCAGCCTCAGGGCTTCATCAATATCAGGCAGAGGCTTGGCATTAAATTCACGACACAGCAACATATTTGCATGACAATTTGGCGCTGCTTCCTCAACATTCTCCAAAGGGACGAATGGTAATGCTTCTATCCTCTTTACATTGGACAGTCTGCGGTGTGGGTTTTTCAAAGGCATATTGACGATGACCTTTGGGAAATCATTCCTCTGAATTGGGTGTCCCACAATTCCCTTGCTTGCAACCCATCCACCTTTATAATTTGTTCATCCCGAGTCTCGATGCTGCTGTTGCCGGTGAATTCGGACTTGATAGACCTCCTTTTCTTGCTGTTCAGAAAGGCCTGAGACAGCGTTGATCGTCTTCGTGGCTGCTTGGCTTGCGGCTTTGCATTTTCCATGAGAATTTGGTCTCCACTTTGGCACGTTGTGTGCGCAATTGCACTGGAGAAGCTACCCAATTGGCACAGCTCTTCAGTGAAGTTACCGACGAACACCGGAGAGTGCGGAAAACCCATGGACTTGCGTTGCATCTTCATTGACGTGTCAGAAGTGGTTGCCAAACAGGATGATGATGATGATGAGATGTTTGCTGCACTTGAAATGTACCTTTTAGGAGCCATCTGTTCGAGCACAAAAAAATGAAAATGCTTTATGACAATCTTTCGATACAATGCAATACTTGCACAGCATTTCCCACCTCATTGTATGTGGGCTGAGACCAGTTGCAAAAGACCGGCATGATTTTTTGTAACTGAGAGCTCTGCACAATATCAGTAATACATTGTGCATGATAACAAATGTTCAGACTTACTTAGGATGATCAAAATGATATATTTTCACTTTCTTGGATTTATGTAGAGTTCACTTGGCATCCAGTCATTCCTTCTCTTTTTCCCCATTTTATATAAAAGGTTGTGGCTCGGGAACCTAACGGTGGTTCTTTAGCGCGTGGCCCTAGGGCGACAGACGTTCAAGTTCATTTTAAGTTAACTTATTAGGTATAGCCCTGTGAGCCATTCGGCTCTTGAATCGGGTGCAACCGCAACAAACAAAAAACAAAAACATTAACAAAAAACATCTTAAAGTGATTATGTGATTGAGTGCAAACAGAAAATCCAAGGAAAGACAGCAAAATATTGCAGAACAAGTATAACCCGTAAAAACAAAGTTTTTCACTATAAATCCTTTATATGCGTGGCGGCTAGAGTCCTCTCGTCCTCTGGCTTGAGATGGCTGCCACCTATGGGTCAGATGATTGCATGGCACCATTAAGCAATTGGTAATTAAATATAATATTTTTGTCCTAAAAAGTGTAAAATTTTGGAAAAAAAATTTCACGAACATAAATTGTCACGCACAACGAGTCTGTGTGGAAAATGTCAGCTCGATTGGATCACGGGAAGTGGGTTAAAAAACGACCGAAAGATTTGCACGGTCCTAAGCAAGCAAGCAAGTGAACTTAATATAAAGGATTTAAAAAGCACCGTATACCAACGCGGTGTGCAAAAATCCCATCCCACGTACCACGCGAACGGAAGCATGTGGGCAATGACACGCTTGAAGACGTACATTACAAAATACGAATTATTTACTAAATATAAGAATAATAAATATAAATGTTGTTCAATGTAAATAGCATAAATACATATTACATATTGATGAAGTATATTTTTAAATACATAAATGTTTCATCTACATTTAGTATTTTGTACTGTACGTCTTCAGGTGTGTAGGGAGCAGTATTATAGCGGTTAGTGCGCTGCGAACCCAGTCAATGTCCAGCCAATGTTAAAACATGTGCAGTCCTGCATTATGATCACGAAGATCTGCGACACAGATAATATGCACCACAACTCCAAATTCTGCAATGATCCAGTCATACTGGACATACAGGGCCTCCTCTACTTACGAACGAGTTAGGTTCTAGAGGTCTGCTCGTAAGTTGATTTGTTCGTAAGCCCAACTTTACTCCTATCAATTCAAAACCTGTTGAACAGCATGTACAGTTAACACGGGGAATGGCTATAATCTACTGTAGATGCCACTGGTTCTTCATGTTCTGCAGATGTAGATGGCACTGGTTGTTTATGTTCTGCAGATGTTCCCTCTGGTGCTTGTGTTTCCTCTCTACTCTCTTGAAAAACTTACCAAGAGATGTCTGCGCAGTTGCTCTCTTCTCTTCATAAATCAACTTGTAACAGGACAATAGTATCTTGACTTAAAAGCTTTCGTGACTGCAGGAATTTCGGTAAAGTGACGTAGATAGAAAAATAATTTTCGAAATCACGTTTCGATCGCAACACAAGCAATCATCTTCAGGTGAAAAAATACAGCAGGCGAACTGCTTAGGCAGGAGAAATATGATACAGTATATGCTTTCACCTGAAGACGATTGCTTGTGTTGCGATCAAAACGTGATTTTTTTTATCCATCTACGTGACTTTACCGAAAGACCCAAATAGTAGACAATAGTATCGTGAACAGCTGCCAACACCTTAGTTAACCTTTCAGTATTTGGATCCTGAGACTCAAAACAAGCCAGTGCTTGACAGTGAACAACCACCGCCATCTATTGTTGAACTTACGACGCTCGGTCCGAACAAGCAATTGAACATACGAGCAGGTTTGTTCGTATCTCTGAAAGTTCGTAAGTCGAATGTTCGTAAGTAGAGGGAGTCCCTGTACAGCTTGATATCAACAAACACGAATCCTACAACGATGAAAAAAATATATACATACAGCTTCATAAGAACCTGAATTCTGCAATCCCTTCAGACTTACCAATATCAATAATCACCTCTTAGCCTTAGGTCAATAACACCACATCTGATTCATCACTCCAAAAAAAATCACCACTTTGTGTCATGATATTCAATAACTTGCCAATCACCATACCCAATCTCACTCGTTCCCTTGTTCCTATGTTATACTCACACTGTGTCTCTACTGTATCATTGTACGTCTCCCTTTACCTGTCTTTTTGCATCTCCTTGTCTTGTCTCCTGGTCTATCTGTCTGTATTTCTCTGCAGATCTTAAGTGTCCCGCTGTCTCTGTATCTAGACCTGTCTCTCCTCCCGCCTAGTGGTGAAGTATGGTCCGAAAGAACCAAAGAATATGGTCAAGGAATGTGAAGGCCACCTCCTCCCTCGTCCAGCAGTGGATTCACGAAACGGGATGTACATGCTTCTGTAGACAACTGCGTATAGCAAATATAACTCACAGACGAAGCGCTGCTAAGAATACGCCGCCAGTCTACGTTGCCGTGTAGATGTGATGAAGATGCAGAGCAACAACGACAGTACAATTGTAGAAAAAGTTTGGCCGAGCCAGACATCGGCATCAGGAGTAGCGGACTGTGGCGTCTCCTTTGGTATTTGTGGATCGGGCATTGCGTCGCAGGGCAAGGCCCTCGACAGCTACTCTCATACTCCAGTAACAGATCGTTCGCCCTCTAAATAACGCGAGTCGATGTCCCGGATACAACACGGATACAACACGGTTATGTGTGACCCGAGGTGGAGCCTCCTCACACCGTCGCGGGTCGTGGCCTATGAACCATACTTCACCACACAATCTTTCTTTAGGCTGTGGAATCCGACGAGCTATAAAGCTCTTTATCACAGGTGTCCAGTAGGGGCGGGTCAGAAAGTTACAAACAACGCAAAAGAACCACGCCGGCCAGCGCGGGTTATAGAAGGCGGAGAGCGAATAGCGACCAGGCGGAGTGGGTGCGAAGCAGCTGCGGAGCTTCAGAGACGCCGTCTCGGATTTCGCGAAAAATGACAATGTCCACAGGATGACGACAGCCCTGGCCCTACCGAGAACGCGTCTCCCAAACAGGTGAACTCACCTCACACGAGGCGAGGTGCTTCGACGGGGCCCCCTCGCCACTTGTTGCACCGCGGACTGGAGGCCAACCCAGGAGCTGACGACCGTTGGAGATTTCAAACTTCGTGACGCGCGGCACCGCGCCTCCTGTGATTGGTTAATAGGGAGAGCGCCAACGTCACGAAACTGGATCGATTCGCGAATCGGTTTTCTTATTAACCGATAATTCGATGCGATGGGACGACAGCCAACGTCTGTATTCTTGGGTCTTTCGGTAAAAATCTTGATTTGAAGCTTTCGTAACTACAGGAATCCATACTCTTTGGTTCTTTCGGTAAAGTCACGTGGGTAGAAAAATAAAATAAACAATAGTCACGTAGGTAGATGTTGACTTGAAGCTTTCGTGACTGCAGGAATTCATATTTTTGGGTCTTTCGGGAAAGTATCAGTTTTTTCAGTTTCATTTATTTGGTATAACCCTGTGAGCCATTCGGCTCTTGAATCGGGTGCAACCGCAACAAACAAAAAAAATGAACAAGAAAACATCTTAAAGTGACTATGCGCAAACAGAAAAATCCAGGAAAAAACTGAAAATAATCTTCCAGAAAAAGCACCGTACACCAACGCTGTGTGCAAAAATCCCAATGGGATGCAAGTCAAACAACAACAACAACCACAATACAACTTAGATTAAAGCCATCAGTCTAACTCCGTACTACAACAAACAAACATGGCTAAACCAATACACTTTTCGAAATCACCTAAATAAAGCCATGAAAGCAATGTAACAGTGATCATAGGAACTGTGACCGAAATTTCACAATAAACGACATAAACAACATGGACCACCAAACCCTTTAGCCATAGCTGGCTGCATGAGTCACTCCACAACAGGAGGAGCATCAGTAGGAGTATCAAAACATTTCAATGCACCTTTAAAGATCAGCACACTAAATCAAAACACAAGATCATACTTTGCAGCGGTCATCCGGAGCGAAACATTTGATTTTAGGCCACTGAATAGCAGTGGCAAGCTCGGGGTGAACAACTCCTCTAGAGCAGTTTTGAGTGAAGATCTCATAGGTAGTTATTCAAGTTGAAGTTTATTAGCAATAGCATTCCAGACCCTGGGGGCATCACGACGTTTCGGGCGCAACACATCAGGTGGGAAAGCATGATGACGGACGCTTATGTTGCGCCCGAAATGTCGTGATTTATTTTATTTTATACCTACGTGACTTTACCGAAAGAACCAAAGAGTATGGATTCCTGCAGTCACGAAAGCTTCAAATCCAGAGAGATTAGCATGTTAATGGGAGATCGCAGAGCCGCAACCAAGGGGTCGGCGTGCAACGTGACTGTGTTGGTGTGAACCCTGTGAAAGCACGTTTGAAATGGGTGTAAAGCACAACTAACATTGGAAGGTGGTAGGATGGGAACATCATCGCCAATTATTACTTAAACTGGTTGATAACGTCCTTCTAATGATTGCTCAGTTTTCTTGGTTCTTTCGGTAAAGTCATGTAGAATAGCAATAATAAAATAATAAAAATAAAACATACGTGACTTTACCGAAAGAACCAAGAAGATGAATCCCTGCAGTCACGAAAACTTTAAATCGAAAAGATTGCTCAGTTGTACCTATCTTCTCGGTTGAAATTGTTTATTATTTATAGACACAGACACAATTATGTATAATTAGCTATTTTTTCTCCTGATGACGATTGCTTGTGTTGCGATCGAAACGTCGTAGTTTTTTCTCTTTTCTTTGAACCTATCTTACGTGACAATCAAATGTATTGAAAAGGCATCCAAAATAGATCATCTGCCCATTGAGCTTAACCGAAATTGGGAATATTTTTCAGAGCCCCAATAAATAGTTTACAATTTTAACCTTCATTTTCTGAAGCTGGTGATCTTTTTGATAATGTATTGGGAGTCACCCCTGCGCATGCAAATCCCTACACCCCTGTCCAAACATTAAAGAATTTAGTTTCCAGCCAATCCACGAAAGTAATGTTCTAAAACAACTGCCCTACCTCAAAGGGTCCTCCTCTACCGGAGCAGATAGTATTCCTGTCTTTGCTCTGCTAACTGTTGGTCACCTAATATACAAACCTATAGCCCATATTTTCAACCTGTCCATCAAAGAAGCATCAGTACCTCTAGAATGGAAACATTCCTATGTTCGTCCACTTCACAAAGGGGGCCCTAAAGATGATCCAAATAACTACCGACCTCTCTCAATTTTGTCTCCATTGATTACAATTTTAGAAAAATTATTGAACTACCAAATTAGCAGTTTCCTGTCCGACAACAATTTATTACATCGAAAACAATCTGGGTTCCGAAAAAAATACAGCACCGCATCTGCTGCATTAAACTCTCTGAATCACATTTACAGTAGCCTTGATAATTATCAATAGCTGCTGACATTTGGGCTACGCCCATTTCAAACCTTTATAAACAGTTTGCCTTGGAAGCTAACCCCCCTTTTCCTGAAGATGACCGCTAGTGTTGAGATCGAAACGTCATAGTTTTTAGTTATTTTCTTTGAATCTATCTACGTGACTTTACTGAAAGACCCAATAATATGAATTCCTGCAGTCACGAAAGCTTTAAGTCAAACCAACGTCTGCTTTCGTTCAATTGATGTAGACACAGAGCAACGACGACAAATTGTAAATGCTGTGGGTTTACTCTCGAACACACGGGTGTGCTGAAGTAGTAACTAATTGGCACTTTTATTTTCGTGACAACCCTTATTTATATTCACGCGATCTATACAAAAACATTTGTGATGGACAACTACAATTTCACATTCAAGTGGTCAAGCCAGATAACCGCATCAGGAGCAGAGGGGTGTATCGCTGTGATTATGTCTCCTTCGTACTTGCGGGTCATGGCATTGCGTCGTTATACGTTGTTATTGTCTGTTGGGGATGACCACGGTCGCACACTGCATCATCAGGGTATCCGCATCTACTGCTGCCATCGTTTGTGCAGTGGATGCAGCTTAGGGTGGAGCATGAGCAGCATCGTAAAGAAAACCCCAGGGATCTTCTGCGTTGTTCAGCGTATTGATGCCCCCAGGGTCTGGAATGCTGTTGCCAATAAATTGAAACTTGAGTCACTACCTATGAGATATTCACTCAAAACTGCTGTAGAGGAGTTGTACACCCCTAGCAGCCAATGCTATTCAGTGGCCTAAAATAAAATGTTTCGCTCCGGATGATCGGTACAAAGTATGACCTGTGTTTGGATTTAGTGTGCTGATCTTAAAGGTGCATAGAAAAATTATAATACTCCGATTGATGCTCCTGCTGTTGTGGAGTGACTCATGCAGCCAGCTATGGCTGCAGGGTTTTGGTAGTACATGTTGTTTATGCCATTTATTGTGAAAATTCCGTCACAGTTCCTATGATCACTGTTTCATTGCTTTCATGGCTTTATTTTGGTGATTTCGAAAAGTGTATTGGTTTAGCCATGTTTGTTTGTTGTAGTACAGAGTTAGACTGATGGCCTTAATCTAAGTTGTCTTGTGGTTGTTGTTGGTTGTTTGACTTGCATCTCACTGGGATTTTTTCACACAGCGTTGGTGTACGGTGTTTTTTCTGCAATATTTTGCAGTCTTTTCTTGGATTTTCTGTTTGCACTCAGTCACATATTCACTTTAAGATGTTTTTTGTTCATGTTTTGTTTGTTGCGGTTGCACAAGATTCAAGAGCCGAATGGCTCACAGGGCTATACCTAATAAATGAACTTGAACTTGTATGTGCGACCCTAGATCAGAATCAGAATATTTAGACTAGGAGGAGGAATCCAATGAGCTATGAAGCTCTTTATCACAGATGACCTAGTATGGGTGGGTCAGCAAGTTACAGCAGCAAACGATACAAAAACACGACAGGAGTGCAAAATAGAGAAAATAGTAAGCAAGTCATTGACTATAAATAATAAATACTTTAACTACATAAGTCCGATTGATCAAGATTGGGTAAGGCAAAAACAACATCAAAAGAGTTAGTAGATCGCAAAGCAGGAACTGTTAACTACGAAGTGCAATTGTTCATGGGTTTCCCCCCCATAGCGTGCCAAACTGAATGGTAAAAGCTATTTAGATGATTTGGCTGCTTAGATAAATTTCCACGTGATAAGCCACTTCGTTGAGCTATTTGCTGCCATATCGCTTCTGAAAAAGAAGCGAAGAGCTAAGTCGGCTTTACCTGGTAAAATATACGTGTACATAGTTTAGTGATCTGCTTACCTTTCCTATACTTTGCACTCGTACCGTGTTTTTGTATTGTAACGTTCTGACCTTCCCTACTGGACATCTGTTAAACGGAGCTTCCTAGCGCATCCGATTCCTCCAATATAAATAGATATTCTGATTATGAAGTCGATTCCGTGAAGCGAGTCTTACGTGATATGTGAATCTAGGTGGAGGTTGCACGTTCCAGTGGATCAGAACATCCGATTGTAACGATTCACCTGATTGCAATTCTTAAGGTCTGTATACAAATGATGTGTATGACAGAAACCCCAATAGGAAAATATATAATGGCCGACGTTTCGGGCAATGACCCGAAGCGTGGCCTACTATATTGTTTCTATAAAGACAACAGTGTTATTTCCGAATCTGTTAAGTTTTTTTTCTCACTGTGTAACAGCAAATAAGATTTAATTTCTTGATAATCCACTCGTTTCAAATAGTCGTTACATAATTCACTTTTCTTATTGGCCATGTAAAGATACTGAAACCACTAAAGTTATGCCACCTCAGGTGGTACCGATACAATGCATTGTCTGGCCTGGGCCCAGACACCGAAGGAATGTTGGTTGGACGTTTTACTGTATATTCGTTTGACATTTGTAACCAAAGCACTTAGCCACACCAATCCAACTGGAATAGGATAGAATAGGTTGTGAACATGATATGGGTTGTAAACAATATATGAACGGTGCGTTTGACAAAAATAGGTAAAATTAGAAGAAAAAACATTCCATAAATTTTACTTTTCCTGATTGACACCCAAAGTGCTTTCTTTCTTGACTACCAATTAGAAAATGACGATCGCCTAAAAAAAAGAACAGAATCTGCAAAAAACCCCTCTAGACTCAGCAAAAAGGCATCAATGGCACAGCTGCCTTTCTGTGAAAGTCAGGCAGGATGAGGGCTTGAGTGGCTTGGCGGTGTGGGTGGGAGGGAACCAAGGATATGTTTTTTTTAAATCCTCCGCATCCTGAGAAATACACAACCCCCTCCGACATTCCAGATGTGTCATGTGATGGGTTTGTTCCAGCCATATTGTTCCTTGGGAGTTGTGCTTAATGTGTGCATTGACGTGTGTGCCTCAAGTAGAAGCTGGCAGGGCGCTGCTTTAAAGGTAACTGAGGAAAAAACAGGGGCTGCTGCCTTGTGCCAACAAGGGCCAATTCACTGCAAAAGTAAGTCCTTTAACTCGCCTCGCTATGGGGTCACTCAATTGCACAGAAGTGTGAAGATGACCATCTGTGTTGTTGTGTGCTTACTGCTTTACTGTACATTTACACGAACGGCCCGTTTATCACTCCGTTGTTGGATGAGGGCTCCCCATGTTCTGCAGAATGGGTAATTTGTCCTGCATACTTCACGCTGTTGGCTCAGGTGGAGGGAGTAGACTGCAACAATTCATGTTGCTGCACTGCCCTCTGAACGTTATTGTACTCAATCAGTATTTACTGTAATAGAGGTTTTTTTGGGTTCGATCATGTAAATATAAATGCGTCGTTGAACCCGCCACCACCCGACACAGCCAATTAGTAAGGTTTGTCACGTTAACAGAACATGCCAATATGCTACTCGTACATCACTAACCGGTGTGTTGGAGAGTAATCCCACAGCATTTACAATTCGAGTATGACGTTTCGCCAGTAATTACAACTAGCATCAGACGACAGACATATTTGTGGAGAAATCCTCCTGTTTCGTTCTTAATTGGTTATGTCGGGTGGTAGCAGGTTTAACTACACATTTATATTTACGCAATCTAACCCAAAAAAAACTATTATTGATAATATTGGTCACGAAAGCCTACGTGTTAAACATTATTTACTGTGTTGTACTGATGAACGATTAGGTCATTAGTATACAATGTTTTTGCATGTACTGGTATTTTTCTGGTTGCAGGCAACGTGCTACTGCCATTGTATTACTTCCCAAGATTTCCTCAAGGTAATTCGTCTCCATAATAGGCTCCAGAAAAGACAACACTTGCACGAAACTTTGCAGTTCTGAAGGTGACGGCTAAATCATCCATTCGGTATCACCTAACGATCTTAAATCCTGGTTATAGGTGGACTCGGCTCATCATCCCTTCAAGGTTGGTAAAGCACGCACTACTTTTTGGGAGGTTAACAGTGGATATTCTATGCCGATATTATCCTTTACCATCGAAGTGGATAATGTAAAGAATGTAGTGCATAGGTAATAGAAAGGTGGATTGATTGTGTAGGGATAAGAAGAACAGAGTTTTTGTGAGTGTTTGGTGAAATGTGGCAGTCTGGGTAGTTTACGCTTGTAATTTGTGTTCTCAAATGACAGTGCTGACGTTTATCTCCTTATCCCTATCTATGCTCTTTGGTTCTTGCGGTAAAGTCACGTAGGTATAAAAGAAAACGTCGTGACAAACGTCGTGATTTTTTTTATTTTCTACTCACGTGACTTTACCGAAAGAACCAAAGAGTATGGATTCCTGCAGTCACGAAAGCTTCAAATCATTACTATTCATTATTTGAGTTTTAACTGGCCACTCCTCCCTCCATTACCCAGGTTAATCGGGAGTCGAATGTCCCGCTTATATTATGAGCGCACCAGGGTATTTTGTGTGTATACATGATACATTACTTTGTGTTTTGTATATTGAACCGCATATACAGTAGTGTACGTAATATAGTTTTCATGTATTTACTTGGTGTCCAGTGTGAAACAACCTATACTGTAATAAAAAAAATGTGCATCTCATATCTGAAATAAAGCCACGTTTCTCCCTTATCAGAGTTGAATCTCAAGACTGTGGCATGATGATGGTGGTTGTTAACTGTGGTCCTTGTCAGCTTGACTCGTTTCAGTGCGAGTTCTGACACCGGCTGAAACTGGCACCTTGGGCAGCAGGTGACACCATGAACACAGAGGGCAGTGTGGCGGTTACCTTCCGTGGAGCTGAGAGAGAGGCCAGGTGAATCGCGGACACAGCAGCCGGCCGTATAACCAATGCAGTATCTTTCATGAGGAATCATCTTCGGAAAGCGAGGTGGCTGACTCCATGATTCATGGATTTTAACAGATAGAGTTAAAATCTGGTCCGCCACCATTTTGTTATTCCCTTGTATGGTGAGTTTATGGTTTCAATGTTGACACCTACAATGTTACCATATTGACTTGGTTTCTTACTTGATCTTCCCTAACGTTCATTAATGATTCAATCATTGACATGGGACAGTGCTACAGCATTTAGAAGAAAGGATCAGTGTTTAGGATAATATAGGCTTATTGAAGTTCAGTTAATTTATGAGGTATAGCCCTGTGAGCCATGCGGCTCTTGAATCGGGTGCAACCGCAACAAAAAACATGAACAAGACACATCTTAAAGTGACTACACGCAACAGAAAAATCCAGGAAAAAACAGCAAAGTCTTCCAGAAAAAGCACCATATATCAACGCTGTGTGCAAAAATCCCAGTGGGATGCAAGTCAAACAATAACAACCATAAGACAATTTAGATTAAACCAAAACTTTTTGAAATAACCAAAATGAAGCTATAAAAACAATGTAACAGTGATCATAGGAACTGTGATTCAAATTTAACAATAAACGATATACATAACATGTACGACCAAACTTTGCAGCCATAGCTGGCAGCATGAGTCAATCCATAACAGCAGAAGTATCAGCAGGAGTATCAAAACATTTCAATGCACCTTTAAAGATCAACACACTATAATCAAAACTCAAGATCATACTTTGCAGTGGTAATCCGGAGCGATACATTTGATTTCAGGCCACTGAATAGCAGTGGCAGCTAGGGATGTACAACTCCTCTGGAGCAGTTTTGAGTGAAGATCTCACAGGTAGTGATCCAAGTTGCAGTTTATTGGCGATAGCATTCCAGACTCTGGGGGCATCAATAGCAAAGGCCCTTCCTCCAGTATTTGTACGGCAATAAGGAACGTAAAGCTGGTAAATGAGCGAGGACCTTAGGTCACATTTGTTCTTCGAAACAGTGAGGAGATCCAGCAGGTAGTCTACTGATTTATTTGTAAGTACATCGTGAATAAATAAGATCTGATGCACAAGCCGTTGATCATTAAGAGATGTTAAGTTTGACCCAATGCAGAGATTGCAGTGGTGGGTCCGAAATGGGCAGTTCAATGCAAATCTTAAGGCCGAGTGATAAATTGAGTCAAGCTTCCACAGTAATGAAGTAGAGAGAGTATGGTAGATTTTATCAATTCCAAACGGAACATAGGGGGGACGCAGTGCTTGTGTCGATACAGAAAACCAAATTTTATTTTGTCTTTTTACCAATATAATCAATGTGATCTGGAAAATTCAGTTTTGAATCAAGGATGACCCCAAGATACTTATAGATCTTGACTTATTCTATTTGATAATTATTTAAGGAATGTAAATGGGGGAAAATAACTTCCCACTTTAGTCCTGGTGAGAAACATAGCACCTTGGTTTTGGAGGTATTCAGGGCTAGTTTAAGAGCAACTAGCTGATGTTGTAGTTTATTGAAATCACCCTGGAGCTTAGCAATCACTTCATCTGGAGAGCGGCCGGCAATAACCACAAACGTAGCTCTGTGATGTCAATATCCGTGGCCATTAGGTGATCCGTGATGAACTGCCTACAGGAATTCAAACTCATGGCATGGCTGATAGTATGATTATGATAACTAGGATATACAATAATTAATGACATCCAAGAGCAACATTTAAGAGTGAATGATAAAGTTGTCAGCTATCTCCTTTTGGAATTGCATAAGTTTGGTCACTTTTTACAAGTCTGCAATCACCAACTTAAGGACTACTTGCAAATATATTCATTTATATAGTTAAATCTTGAGCAAAGAAGCTGAAATTACTAGAAAAGCTGCACATGCAAATTATTGTACACTCCGAATATTAACGCACAGCTTGAACTCAGTATCTCGTATGTACTGGTTTTACAGTAAAATGTTGATGAGTGTCTAAATGTAACCACATCTCTAGATATCATGTGCAATATAGTAGCATGCACGTCATTGGGAAAGAAGCAAGAATACGTATTGTAGACAGTTTTCTTCATTGGAATTACCCTGATTCGCATACGCACATGTTACGATTGTTTTTATATATAAAATACGGTTTAATTAAGTGTCTTTGGATTTGCAATAATCAATAGAGGAACATATTAAAAGTGGGGTTTTTAAGCCATGTATTTATTTGCTGTGGGAATATAATAAACATGAACTGGTCCACATTTGTCTATCCCTCTCTCGCTGCTGTCAGGCAGCCACCTTTTCTCAAATATATGTTGATGGTGACCTAAAACAGGAGGTGCGACAGTGCAGTTCTCCAGGAATTGCTGATGTTTTTTTGTTGTTGCATAATTCACAAAGGCCGGGTGTTTTTTGTACATGTGCGTGTTATTTGCCATCCGTGGGTGATGTGCAGTGCTGTGAGAACTGGGGAGCACGACGAAGATGGTCTGCGTGTGCAGTTAGAAGACACTGTGCATGCAAATAGATTTTCGTCTACTGGCAGCAGGTAGTCATTGGAAGTTGCACACACATTCACTAGGAGTATATTGTTATGCCATCCATTCGGCCATTGTGACATATAAAAACCAAATGTAATCATTTATATTGTATGTATGTTTGTTGAACTTCTGTCGCACCACACGTAGGCAACAATTGCTAATCATAGGTGCAGGGAGGAAGGACAATAAACTAAACACAAAAAGCAGTTCTAAAGAAATTAGTTTTTTACCCCATGGGATGCTGCCATGGTGGAATAGTTAACACACTGGATTTTCCATTCGAAAGTTGCCGGTTCATTCACCTTGCATGGCAGTTGGGAGAATTAGGTAGTTCCTTAAATCTCCCTGATAATGTCCACTTTTTCCTTTATATGCTGTTCACACTTGAACCTCATGTGCCTGGGAAAATGGCTCATTTAGTTAGGCACATGAAGATTCAACGATTAATATTCTTACATCCATTAACATTCTTTAGAAACATGCATGTTTATTATTTGGCTGCTATAAATTTCCACATTATAAGCTACTTCGTTGAGCTATCGTCTGTGGCCAGGTTGCTTCTGAAAAAGAGCTACAGTACATAGCTCATTGGGCTTTACCTGGTAAATAAACTAACGTAGTGTTTTACACTCATGATACTTGCATACAATCACGACTGAATCGAATCTTTACGATTCATAAACATATATATGTAAGATAATAGGGTTTTCTCCTTTTTTCTGGCAACAAAACAGGTGTTAAGATGTTAGAATACCAAACTGAAACCTTTAACAAGGTATCATGTCTGTGTAATGCGAGCAAGGATTGAGGGGGGCGGAGTCTGGGTCACATGAGGAGAGGGAGGAGTTAGGGTCACGTGGGGGAGAGGATTTAGGGAGAGAACCGGAAGGGATCAGGGAGTTAAGATGGAGTGAAAACGGGAGGAGGCCACGCTGGCCAGTACTGGGAGGGTGGCGCGATCGCCACGTGTTGGGAGACCTCGGCACCGTCGGCCATCGGTGTCCGGGCGCAGGGGGGCTAGCGGGCTGTGGAAGGCTGGCTGTGAGCGAGGAGGAGCGGAGCAGCAGTGTGGCTGCAGAGCGGAGCAGCAGGGTGGCTGCAGAGCGGAGCAGCAGTGTGGCTGCAGAGCGGAGCAGCAGTGTGGCTACAGGGCGGAGCAGCAGGGTGGCTGCAGGGCGGAGCAGCAGTGTGGCTGCAGGGCGGAGCAGCAGTGTGGCTGCAGAGCGGAGCAGCAGTGTGGCTGCAGAGCGGAGCAGCAGTGTGGCTGCAGGGCGGAGCAGCAGGGTGGCTGCAGGGCGGAGCAGCAGTGTGGCTGCAGAGCGGAGCAGCAGTGTGGCTGCAGAGCGGAGCAGCAGGGTGGCTGCAGAGCGGAGCAGCAGGGTGGCTGCAGAGCGGAGCAGCAGGGTGGCTGCAGAGCGGAGCAGCAGTGTGGCTGCAGGGCGGAGCAGCAGGGTGGCTGCAGGGCGGAGCAGCAGTGTGGCTGCGGGGTGCTCGACGGAGGAGATGCGGGCCTGAGCGAGGACGCCGTGGGAGCGAGACTTACATGAACCCAAATAAAGGACAACGGAGATCGACACTGTGGAAGAGTCCTTTATTACACTGGTGTCAGAAGTGAAACGGCATGTCAAAACAGCTCAGAAGAAAGAACGTCCCTGCACCATCTTCTGCAACATCTTCTGAAGACGACCTCCCTCCAGCGGTGGCGCTACCGACGATGGAGGGGGGAAGCGACGCAGGGACGAGCGACGGTCCAGGGGTGCAGGACGTTGCCGCTTCGGTGGGTCCATCCGCGCAAGTGGACGCCGACGAAGGATGGCGACAGGTGGCGGCCCAACTGGAGGCACTGAAGGCGGTGTTGACGCAGTTGTGCGACCGCGTGACGCCGGCGACGACTTCGGGGAGGCCCAGCGGGGAACAGCGGGCCGGGGCCTTGCCGACGCAGTCAGCCCTCTCCACCACGCGGCACGAAGCCGCCATCTTGGGCGTGGCCGAGGAGGAACGGCGGGAAGCCGCCATCTTACGCCCTCCACCGTGGGGAGCCGCCATCTTGAACACGTTGCGGAGTGACGCCATCTTGTCGCTGCCGCACGAGTCACCATCGACGGAGGACGGCGGAGCAAGGACCCGCAGCCGTCATCTAACAACTGTTAAAGAGTTCTCCATCGGCGGAGATTGGAGTGCATTCGCCTGCCGTTTTCAAGCGGCTGTACGATCCGCCAAATTCGACGGACGCGGAGGCCCTGGAAGTACTGCCAACACTTCTCGACGACGAGTCCGTCAGGTTCTTCCGCTCCATCAAGGCCGAAAAGAAGAGGACGCTACAGGGGGTCTTTGAGGAAATGGCGGACGCGTATGAGCCTCCGGACGATGCTCATCGCAGATTCGTACAGCGGCAACGGGGGCCGGAAGAATCGCCGGTGGCATTCCGAGGCGCCGTTCTGGAACTAGCTATGGCTGCGTATCCTGAAACGGAGCCTGATTTGTTGGAACCCCTCATATTGGGCAAGATGCTGGAGTTATCTATGGACTAGGGGATTCTCATGCCGGTGTGCGGCCATGATAAGTTGATGTCCCGTGCTGCGGCTAAGTGCTTGGATGCCCAATTTAACCTTCGACGGTGGAAACAGGTGTCGGGCTGGATGGGGGGCCCCATCGTCGAAGGCGGTGCTACAGGGTGGGACCCCAAGAAGGCTGTCTACGTTCCTGACGACAGGGGTCCGCAGGAGTTGACGGCCGCGTCCGCCCAGTGGCCTGCTCGAGGGGGAGCGGGGGTGCGCTCCGGGCCGCCGACGCGGGAGCGTCGGGACAGAGGGGGTGCTGCGCACCGAAACAACTTGGAGTGTTTCCGCTGCGGCCGTAAGGGCCGCTGCGGCCGTAAGGGCCACTTCGCCAGGGATTGTTGGGCTCGCATCCCGGGGCCGCCCCAGCAGGAGGTCTCTGCCACGGACGTGACGCGAAAGGACCATCCAGGACAGACGAACCGGCCGTGACACAGGCGGATGCAGCGAATCATGCACGGCGACGGGGACACTTGACCCTACTGCCCCTCCAACCCCACCACAGACACGGTTGCGGGAGACCCCGGACTCGGGTCTCTCTAGGGAACGGGAGCTTGGCATTGACGGGCCTCCAACAGCGGCGGGCGGTTCTAATCCCGTCGCTCTTAAAACCCCGTCCCGTTCTCGGTCTGTGGGGGGGCCGCCTCCCGTTCGGGACGGGCCGGCGACCCGCACGCGTTCCAAATCCCTTTCCTTTCGTTGATTGTTGTTCTTGTTCTTATTGTTCTTTGTTATCGTCTTGTTATAATCTCCGTTGTCCGGTGATGCCCGATGGTTGAAAGTTGCTCGCATTATTTTGTTCTGTTGCAGCCGGGGACGGCTGGGTTTTTCATCAGGGGGGGGGGGGGGTCGTGTAATGCGAGCAAGGATTGAGGGGAGCGGAGTCTGGGTCACATGAGGAGAGGGAGGAGTTAGGGTCACGTGGGGGAGAGGATTTAGGGAGAAAACCGGAAGGGATCAGGGAGTTAAGATGGAGTGAAAACGGGAGGAGGCCACGCTGGGCAGTACTGGGAGGGTGGCGCGATCGCCACGTGTTGGGAGACCTCGGCACCGTCGGCCATCGGTGTCCGGGCGCAGGGGGGCTAGCGGGCTGTGGAAGGCTGGCCGTGAGCGAGGAGGAGCGGAGCAGCAGTGTGGCTGCAGAGCGGAGCAGCAGTGAGGCTGCAGGGCGGAGCAGCAGTGAGGCTGCAGGGCGGAGCAGCAGTGAGGCTGCAGAGCGGAGCAGCAGGGTGGCTGCGGGGTGCTCGATGGAGGAGACGCGGGCCTGAGCGAGGACGCCGTGGGAGCGAGATTTACACGAACCCAAATAAAGGACAACGGAGATCGACACTGTGGAAGAGTCCTTTATTACATCTGCATTAACCACAATGCTTGTGGTCAGAATGCAAACAAAAAACATACTCTGATAATATATGCATTGTCTTTGAAACGGATTGGTCCACACTAGAGACAGCTTTTTTTTGAGCCTCGTCTCAAACGGTGTTTAGACCAGAGGACGAAAGCTGTCTGTATGTTTTTTGTTTGCATTCTGATTGCAAGCATTGTGGTTAATGCAGACATGATTCCTTGTAAAAGGTTTCAGTTTGGTGTTTTAACATCTTAACACCTGTTTTGTTGCCAGAAAAAAGGGAGAAACCTATTATTTTGGTACTGGCAAAGGAGGTCCCATGATGATATATATGTAAATTATATGTTCATTTATATTTTGGCGAAGTGAATGCTTACTGCAGAATAAACAATACAGAATCAACAATACAACATGCGTGACAGACATTACCTCATGAGATGGAACAAACGAGACAAAAAAGGAAGAGATTAATTGAAATGCCATGGAGGTGAAGTGTTACATTGCTGTGTAAATATGTGGCTTGTTATGAGAGTGTCTCGTGGTGTAATTTTTGCTGCTTTTAATTATATCCCGAATGTCATGCCAGTGGCTATGTGAACTCGGTTTTATTTTGCTTTAGGTTATCTGACAGCCGCTGCAAGCATGCAGTGGGGAGAGTGGTGCTTTCATTTGGATTCAGGTAACGTAAAGAGATTCCTCAATTGCATGTTAAATTGTGTGCCTCATTTACACTCGAGCATTGATTGGCGTGGATGCATAGCTCAGCAGCTTTTTTGCTGAACACTCGTTCACTTTGCAAGGGTTCACGGTTCAAATCCTACTTACAGCCAATGTGGGGTCTTCTGGGTGGTATTATATTTATTACTGAGGATGTCTGATGTTTCATATACTCACAGGAATAGTACTCACTGCTGAAGATGTTTTCTGTTGTGCTTAGGGTTGCCATCTCTGCGGTACAAAAAAACACAATAAAATGCGAAGAATAATATCTTACAATAGTGGAATATAACTGCACGTAAATGCATTGTCTTGAGCGGTGTATTATTGTAATAGGTTTTTACACTTTCATTTGGGACAAAAACTGACACCTTTATACAAGGGATCCGGTTTGCAATAACCACAACACAAGCAGTCAAAATGCAAACAAAAAGAAACAACTCTGATAATGATGATATGCACTGTCCTTGAAGTTGATTGGTCCACACCCGAGACAGCTTTTCTTAGAGCCTAGTCTCCATTGGTGTTGGACCAGATGACGCCAACAGGCGTACAACTCAAAAACAGCGGTGTATTATTGTGCACCTTTTTATGTCCTGGGAAGACTTAGATAATTTCCAAGGACAGCTATCTCAAAATGAGGACGGACCTGGGAAAGTCAGGACAGGTGGCAACCCTAGTTGTGCTGTCATCTTATAAGTGTCGTGCCAACTTTGGAGGATGTCTAATGTGTTGCAGAATCCTGGGCATGGTGCTTATCGTTGTGGACGTGGCACTGGTGATCATGAGACTATTCGTGATGCTCCCCAATGCCCTCGTGATGCTTGAGGATCTGTCCCTCTTCATTGCCATCTTCTTTGCAATGGACGTGGGGCTGCATGCTTTTGTGGAGGGGTCTGTGCATAGCTACACCACCACTTTTATTAGCCCTACTCTTTATGTTAACCACTATCATATAATGTACACTTTTATAATTCTAAAGCCTCTTTGGACTAAGGCATTACATACATATATATAAGATTACATTACAAATTTAAATTGGTTTGGTTGTGAATTGGACAATAATAACTTGGTCAAACTATCGGTTATAACATTCAAATACAATTAATTGGTTGTGTGTTTAAAAATAAAGTGATAAGTGGACTAGTATCTAATTTTCTTTGGTTCTTTCGGTAAAGTCACGTAGATAGAAAATAAAAAAACCCACGACGTTTCGATCGTAACACAAGCGGTCGTCATCAGGAAAGGGGGGAGGGGTTAGCCTCTAAAGGCAAACTGTTGAAAAGGTTTACAGATGGGCGTAGTCCAAGTGTGTCAGCAGCATGGGCGGGGTAGCGAATGTCAATGTAGGAGAAGACGACGGGGAAGAGAGAGTGGGTAGAGATAGGGGGTAGAGAGTGAATAAGGGGAGAGAGAGGGGGAGAGAGAGGGCGAGAGAGGGAGGGTATCTCTACCCCCTCTCTCGTGACTTTACCAAAAGAACCAAAGAATATGAATTCCTGCATTCACGAAAGTTTTTAGTATCTCATTGTTGAATCAGAAACAATCGAACCCTTCAAACTATAGTCACAGACTTTTAAGCAACCTGTCAGGAAGATAACTTATCTCATTAAAAAAACAAGTATAAACATCACAATGCTGATAATCTACATATTTGAAAACATTCCTTACATAGAGTGTTGTGAAGTATTCATATTGATTGCCACACAGTAGTAATAAATAACAATAAATCAAAAAGACCTGTCAGCCAAAAGATAAATTTTCTCTGTTAAATGGTATTGGAATGGTGAAAGAATTTAAAGTGTGTGTCTATGTTGTGTGTCTCTCTCTCTCTATGTGTGTCTCTGTGTTGTCTCTCTCTGCTTGTGTCTGTCTTTGTGTCTCCGTGTCTGTGTTTGTCTCTCTCTCAAATTTAGTTCTACCTGATGACGATTGCTTGTGTTACAATCGAAACGTCGTATTCTATTATTTAATTTATTTTCTTTCTACGTGACTTTGCCGAAAGAACCAAAGAGTAGTTTAGAGTTAAGCTTCATTGGCACATTATTCTGCTGAACATAAAATTGATGTGTCTTTGTAATGAATTAATGATTTAACGTTGTCTTTCCGGTTAGGTTCCACCAATACTTCCATGACTGGCTCAATGTGCTGGACGCTGTCATCGTGTTTGTCACTCTGCTCATCGCTATCGTGCACCTGGTGGTGTTTTCTTATTTTACTGACATTGTCAGGTATTTCTATCAGCCACATCACCCGCGTTTCCCATGCGGCTTTCTCTGGGCACCCTTTGAGCTACGCCAAACGCTTTATTCCAAATCTAGCCCCTTTATGGCCTTCACAGAGGACATCAACAAGGTGTCACTGCTCATAGCAGCCCACTTACAAATTGTTTCCTGTAAAACGTAGCATTGGCATTGCAACACAGTTGAAAACTGAACAAGTGAAATGAGTGAGTTTGTGGTTTTATTCTTAGGCTGGTGGTCATCTTACGAGTCCTGCGACTCATCATGTTGGTTCGAGCTTTCCGGATTTTGTCTCAGCGGAAGAAACTTGAGAAGGCTTCCCGTAAAATGGTACCCATGTTCACAGTGTCTTAATTATTTGTTTCTATTCTGATGGACTTTCTTGTCATTTACAGATTTAAATAAGTGCCCCATATTGTCTTGGTTTTTATTTCAGTGTGACAGTGCATCATCCGTGTATATCCATTTACAAGTAACATTCTAATGCTTGTCAAATATAACTTTGTCACTACATCCATAATAGAGGTTTTTGGGGTTAGATCGCGTAAATATATAAATGTGTCATTAAAACCCGCCACCACCCGACACAGCTTAAACCCTGGCTAGCCGGATCCCATCCAGCTGGATTTCGCATTCATCTGCTCCAATGCCTGATAAATAATAGAAGTATAATCAATGCAAATCTTGATTTAAAGCTTTCGTGACTGCAGGAATTCATACTCTTTGGATCTTTCGGCAAAGTCACGTAGATAGAAAAATAATAGATCACGACGTTTCGATTGCAACACAAGCAATCGTCTTCAGGTGAGAGCTGTTATTTTCTTTGAACCTATCTACGTGACTTTACCGAAAGACCCAAAGAGTACCATCAATGCAGTCTACGGGCCCAACTGGAGCCACTGGCTTGCAGTGCAAGCACTCTTCTAGGAGGAGGCGCACGTTTTCAAGCTGCGTGCAGCTTCCTCGTTGACTCGCGATGCAGCCCTGTGACGTGCTCTCTTCTTCTTTGTCTCGTTCACTCCGCTTTCATCTCACTTTATTCTCATCCCACGACATTTTAGTCTCCCGTAGATAATAGGATAATTTTGTCACATGACTCATCTTAACCGCAATAAATACTGGGTGTAATTGGATGCATTTTTGCACGACTCTTTATTACCCGCGACGCCTCCAGATGACTTATTTTATGGTCCATGGCCAATAACATGAATTTGTTGCCATTTCCCTGTGACACCTCTTCACCAGAAAAACACAGATACTGGAATAGGGTGAGCACTTCCATGAGTATTACGATGAATATACCATCACTTTAGGGTGACCACGGTTATCCTTGGAAGAATAATACATCCGCGGATAATAAATAGGATGAGATGTCAATCTTACTCTCAACAGTAACCTTAACATGTCTCGACCAGTAACCTCAACCTGAGCCTAACATCTCAGAAAATAGAAAAGATTTTGTGATGCAATGAGAGTGACCAGGGTGTTCTGCAGGTGTCAGAGAATAAACGGCGATACCAGAAAGAAGGCTTTGATTTGGACCTCACCTACGTGACTGGCAAGTTGGAACGTTATTGGTTTTGTCTGTGCGTTTTATCACATTTATCTTATTCCACACCCGTGATACATCATGCACATATATACTCATGGCGATAATATCTTTAATTATCAAACTTATTTGCTTCATGTTTTTATTTTTAACTGTCCGCGCTTAACAGTTTTAACCTTTTCAGACCGCATCATCGCGATGTCTTTCCCTTCATCCGGGAAGCAAGCTGTGTACCGCAATCCCATCCAGGTACAGCTCGTTGGACTTGTCTCATAACAGAAAAATGGCAAAGGCCATCTATTCCTACCTTCCACAAACAGCCAGCTTTTGGTAATGAGAGAAATTCATGTTGAGACACGGTAGCTTTTGGCTGTGATAATAATTTTCATTTGTAATGCGCATTTCATCCGTAGATCCCAACGCGCCCATCAGATCCTATCAGTTGGTATCTGCATACTTCTATAACGCGACAATGATGTCTGCTACATGTGTTGTTACCTATGGAGGATTAGGTTTTGGTGAAAACAATCGTGTTTTTTGGAGAACAGACAGCACCGACGTAAATAGTGAAGCTTACACATGGAAAAATCTTGTCACGGATATTTTGTGATGCTTTGTTTGCAATATGTGATGTAATGTGTGTGTGTGTGTACTCCAAATCATGCCATTTTCTTCTTCAGGAAGTTGCAAGATTTCTCGATATGAAGCACGGGAATCATTATAAAGTGTACAACTTATGCAGTACGTTAGTTAAAATTCACATCCAATAGATGATTATAAATGATTTAACATGAATTATTTGTATTCAATAACGAGTATTTTGTGAACCTAGCAACTTTGTTAAGTCTCTTTCCTTGTACAGGTGAAAAGGGCTATGAATCTAAATATTTCCACAACCGAGTCGAAAGGGTTTGTGTGGACGACCATAATGTTCCATCTTTGCCGTAAGTACTGCCTCCATTCCAAATGTCACAACGAAAGTGTTTCAATAAATGCCCCATGCCTAGTTAAAATGTTGGCCACGACATTGTAGCTTTGATTGAAAACCACTTCGCCTGTGTGTGTCTCAGAGAGTTGCTCAGGTTTGCAGACAGTGTGCACCAGTGGATGGACTCGGATGATGCAAACGTCATTGCCATCCATTGCAAAGGTGGCAAAGGTACTTTAACTGGGGCAACAGGGAAACTTGGAGCAGTCGTTTGTTAATCAGAATTAGGATATGTATTTATGCTGGGCGAATCCGATGAACTATAAAGCTCCTTTTCACAGTTGTCCAGTTGTTTCACAGATGTTCAGTAGTTTCCCAAATATCCAATAGAGTATCAATTGGTGAGGCTGAACAACGGAGCACTGGCCTAGAATGTCTTTCCTGGAAGGAATAATACAAAAAAATAGTCTGGCTTGGAACTAAACATATTCAGCCACTTATTCAATACAAACATAAAACCCACTTCAAATTATACAAGTGAGAGAAGACGAAGATTTCCAAACCATGCCGTAGAAACGCGGATCTTGTTAATAGATGGCTCATTTTATGTTTCTCCAAGTTACTCCCTCAGTAGTTGTGGTGCGTGAGCGACTGTACCGAGTGGCTGTATTTGATATATTTCAGGCCGAACTGGGACAATGGTCTGCACATGGCTTGTTGACAGTGGACAATTTAAAACAGCAGAGGTGAGAATGCATGAGCACGGATTTCTGCTAAATGTCTCTAGAAGGTGCGTTTACTCTGCCCCTACTCATGGGATAAACCCTGCTGGTTACACAATTAACTGTGAAGTGGTCTATGTGAATTTAATTCATTGGCTGCAATTTAATGACTAATGTCTGGAATGAGCAGTACCAATCTTCAAAGGAATTTTTTTGTCTGGCCATTATTATTCAAGCATTAATTGGTGAATTTGGCGATTCGTATTTAAAGCTGTATAAACTGTATATTTTCAACTTGAGGTGAAATTCCATAAAGGTATTGAAATAAAAATATATACCTTTTTGTGCTTAAAATGTATGTCCAAAGGTAGTTGATACCAAGTAGCATCCACACTGGCAATGTCATATTTCGAATATAATTTGGTAAACATGGAAATCAAAAGCTATACACTTCATGGTGAATTACAATCTGCTATTGTTAAGACAAGACTTTATCAGGCGTTTGTTTGTGCTGATTGGATGCACTTTGAATGCACTTTAGGAACCTTATTCCATCCATTGGGGCATCGTGACAAATATAAAAGGCAAATGTCATATATGTTGTATGTATTTTTTACTTCTTTCGCACTATACGTAGTCAACCGTGCTAATCGGAGGTGCAGGAATGTTATATTTCGTTATATGGCACAGACGCTAGCTTGTGAATATGACTATTAATGGGCACGTTGATCTTCTCTTCAGGAAAGCCTGAACTTCTTTGGAGAAAGGAGAACTGACAAAAGCGTCAGTTTGAAATTCCAGGGTGTGGAAACGCCATCCCAGGTAGGACTATCATTCTTAACAATATAAGGCGTGTGCACATGGTGATGAGTGGATTGATTGAAAAGTTATTTTACTGTAGTCTGTTCCACCCGATATGCTTCAACGTGTGGGTTTTCTCAGTGCAACAAAATGTCTTTTTCATGAAAAAGCAGACGTTTAACCTCTGGTGAAAAAACATTTCAGTGTTCTTTGGGTCTTTCGGTGAAGTCACGTAGCAGCATGGGCTGACACTTGGGGTATGCCCATTTTTAAACCTTTTCAACAGTTTGCCTTGAAAAGTCAACCCCCTTTTCCTAATGATAACCGCTTGTGTTACGATCGAAACGTCGTGGTTTTTTGTTATTTTCTTTGAACCTATCTACGTGACTTTACCGGAATACCCAAAGAATATGAATTCCTGCAGTCACGAAAGCTTTAAGTCAAGATTTAATATTTCAGTGAAGCTATTAAAATTGTAACATGTCTACAAAGTGACACGAGTCTTCATCAATCACCTGTTCTCATTGCAGAGTCGGTACGTTGGCTATTTTGAGACAATCAAGCACAAATGCAACAGACTCCTGCCTGCAGAAAAGTCACTGATTATCAAGTCCTTTAAAATCCATTCAATCCAAGGTTTGTGCCTTGAATTAAAATCTGCACGTATGACAAAAACACATTCTTCACGTACAAAGTGTGTACGAAGATGTGTTTAACAATGGGTGTGGTGACCAGGGCCAGGTTAAGTTGAAGGGGGCTCGGTGATGTTATTGTGTTGGGCCCGCCCCTCTTTGTATATTCAACTCCTACCCATGAATATTTTACCACCGCCCATGCCCGATGCCAAACACTCATAATGTTAACTCCCCCACCCATATTCGTGGTCACGTGCTTGGCCTAGCTTGTTCAAGGAGATTGTCTGTCACCAACTTATCAATTATTGATCCTGGAATATCCAATCATTGCGCCTAATCCTATCGTAAAGCAGCAGATCAGATTTCGGAATCTAAAATCAATTCCTCCGGACATACTCTTAGGTTTTTTCGGTAAAGTCACGTAGGTAACACATTTTTAAATTAATAAAAGTAAAATAAAACAAATAAAAAAATTCACGACGTTTCGGAAGCAACACAAGCCTCCGTCTTCAGGTGGAACCGTCACAGCCACGACAGCTGTATCAAGTAAATGAGAGATCACAAGAAATACTACCCCGTATATATAATGGTTGAGGGGGGAAGGGCCAGGAACGGCACACTTTTTTATTAATATGGTAAGGTGAGGCTTAAGACCAAGAGTATACTGCATAACAAATGACTGATTCTTTGTTATGGAGAGGTGCGGTTTGTAACTAACACATGGCATACATAACAAAAGTGTGAAAAAAGAAAAGCAAGTAAAAACTAAAACTGGTAAAACAACAAACTGGCTGTCTATCAATAACCTGTAATAGTTGTCTGTCAAATAAGATGGTCCAAATAAGTGTAGTTACATCTTTTTTGCATGGTTAATCACATCTTTCCAATGATTACTCAGTTTGTAACCCTCATCACGGTTGAAATTATGTCTGTGTTTGTATATTTGTATGGCTTCGTGTACAAACCTTTGATGGTAGCCAGGAGGTTTGCAGAGCACCTTGGTCTCGGAAAAGACAATTTCATGAGAGCCCACAGAGTTGTAGCAATGATCGGCAACAGCCGAAGAATCAGTTCTGCCGTGTTTCAGATCTGACTTGCCCCCGCGGACACGATCAGAAACATGACGTTTCGTTTCTCCAATGTAGCAATCACCACAACTGCAACTCAATTTGTAGACTCCAGGATACTATAAGTCAGGAACGACATCATTCACAGATGGAATCAGATCACGGATTTTATGCACTGTACTGAATCGGACTTGGATCTTATGTTTGTTTAGAATTTTGGAGATCTTTTTGGTCACGCCTGCTATGTATGGTATCGTGATAGTTTTGGTCGGAGTTTCATGTGGCTGTTTCTGTTTTCCTTGGCAATTCTGAGCTCACCACTCTGAAGTATACCCATCCTACTGTGGATGCCATGATGCAAGTTTACAATACTACATTAAACAGTATATTGGATAGTTTGGCCCCCCTGAAATCACGCTGAATCTCGGTGGTGAAGTCTTCACCCTGGTATAACAATGAGCTTTATGCACTGCAGGAAACTGTCCGTAAGGCAGAGCGATCTTGGAGAAAATATGGCCTTGACATCTACTCGCAAATCATCAAGCACCACCTTGCAATTTACAGAAAGGCACTCAACGATGCTCACACCAGCTATCTTGCTGCTACTCTAGCCAATGCCTGGAATAACCCTAGGATTATTTTGTCTACCGTTCATAGGCCCCTTCATTCACCCCATGCTTCTAATATATTGAGTACAAAGGCTAATGCTGACCAGTTTCTTAATTATTTTTCTTTACAAAATAAACACAATTTGCCTTTCCATTTACTCTATCCCTTTCCCTACCATTCTGCCCACTGTTCCGGCACTGCTGCTATCTGATTTATCTGTTTTCTCCAAGCTCTCACAATCAGATGTTGCTTCATTGATTGATAGCTCAAAACCAACATATTGTTCTCTTGATCCGATTATAAATTTATTCATGGTAATTTTCTATCTCTTGCAGTCTTTACTATCAATCTTCGTAACAACTCACTCAAATCTGATAATGACCCTTTTACTTTTAAATGTGCCATCATTCCTATACTCAAGAAGGCTGGCCTCGATTCAGAACTCTTAAACATCATCTGCTCATAAATTGACTTTTTGACCCTTTTCAGTCCGGTTTTAGGTCTGGCCACAGCACGGAAACAGCTCTGGTTAGGGTAGCTAGTGACTTGCCGGTTGCTGCTGATGCAGGCCAGTCTAGCATTCTTTATCTTTTGGACCTGAGTGCTGCCTTTGACACCATGGATCATTCCATTTTGCTTGAGTGTTTGGAAGGCTATATGGGGGTTTCCGACACTGTTTTACTTCATACCTATCTGCGTGTAAACAGTTTGTCACCCTGGGAGGGATAAATTCAAACACATGTTCTGTTTGAGTGCTTGGCCTACTCTTATTGTGCATATATTTGGCCCCACTTGACCATATCATACGCCAACTTGGCCTTTGTTTTCATTGTTATGCTGATGACACTCAAATTTGCATTAATGTTGAATCCTCCCTCAATGCAGGAGCATCTTGCGTGTCATCTTCTCTTGTGACAATTAAGGCATGGATGCAGTCTAACTTTCTTCAGTTAAAAGCTGACAAGACAGAGGTGCTGCTTATTGGGTCCCGTCATCAATTGTCTTAAGGCTGGCTTGGTTCAGTGTGTTAATTGATGGCCACAATCTTGGTGCTGTTCAGAGAGTTTGCAACCTTGGTGTTATCCTTGATCCTTCACTAACCTTCGAAGCACACATTAGCAAGATCATAAAGGCTGCCTTCTTTCACCTCAAAAATATAGCCAGATTTCGTCCCATTCTCCCTTTATGGGACCTTAAAAAGCTGGTTCATGCATTTGTCTTTTACACATCGATTTTCGCAATGCATTATTATCTGGAATCTCTCTCAAGCTATTAAACCGCCTCCAACACGTGCACAATGCAGTTGCCAGAGTTCTTACTTGAACACCAGTTGCTGAGTATGTTACCCCTGTGCTTGAGTCTCTCTATTGGTTACCGGTCAGGTTCGGAGTGGGGTTCAAGATCCTACTTCTCATTCTTGGGTTTTTTCGGTAAAGTCACGTAGGTAAAAAATAAAAATAAAAATTAATAAAAGTAAAATAAAAATAAAATAATATGAATCCTTGCAGTCACGAAAGCTTCAAATCTAGAATCCTACTTCTCACTTACAAGGCCCTCAACAATGCCTCCCTCTCTGACATCCGTGACCTCCACCCATACGTCCCAACGCGAGTTCTTCGGTCATCTGAGTGTGGGCTATTATGTGTGTCGAGGTCGAACCTCCGTTCAATGGGTGACCCGGGGGCCTTTTCCCATGTTGCCCCCAAGTTGTGGAATTCACTTCCATCAAATATTCGATCTGCTGAGTCCCTCGGTTTATTGAAATCCTGCCTGAAGAATTTTTTTTCGCAAAGGCCTTTTCTCCTGATTCATTTGGTTATGTGTTTTGGGAGTGTGGGGTGGGGGGGTATTTGCATCTATGGTTAAATCATGATCTTGCGTACTTATATTAGGTTTTAGAATTGCGCGAATTATTTACTTGATTTTATCTCTGTGCAGCGCCTTGCGACCTCTTGGTGAAACGCGCTTTCTAAGTGTAAATTATTGTTATTCACCTTGATTATTTCAATTCAAGTTTAGAAAGGTGATGTATAAATTGTAAAGCTAAATCAAAGTAAAATCGAACATGATGGTTTATGCAAATAACTGGTAGTAATATACATCGTGATGGTATATGGCTGCACCAAATTACTCGATATTATTTTTTTCCCGACAGTATTGTGTTTCAACCATTATAAAGCAAACTTGATTTGAAGCTTTCGTGACTGCAGGAATTACTCTTTGGTTCTTTCGGTAAAGTCCCTTAGAAAGAAAAGAAAAAAAAATAGAATACGACGTTTCGATTGCAACACAAGCAACCGTCATCAGGTATGAATGAATGCAAGCTCGGAGAGAGACACATATACAGAGAGAGAAACAAACACAGACACGGAGAGAGACACATATACAGAGAGAGATACAGAGAGAGAGAGAGACACACACATGGGGGAGAGACACATAGAGAGACACACACGCAGAGAGACATACAGAGAGATACACAGAGAACGCCTCTGTGACGAGGCATTTTATATTTAGAGAGGGGGGGCAGAGAAGTTCGCATGTCAATGAGAGCGGTAGGGGGAGAGAAATTGGAAGATGACAAATCAAATCACATTTAGAGTTTCAGTTTCATTTATTTGGTATAGCCCTGTGAGCTATTCGGCTCTTGAATCGTGTGGAACCGCAACAAACAAAAAACAAAACCATGAACAATAAAACATCTTAAAGTGACTATGCGCAAACAGAAAAATCCAGGAAAAAACAGCAAACGTCACGAAACTGGATCGATTCGCGAATCGGGTTTCATATTAACCGATAATTCGATGCGATGGGACGACAGCCAACGTCTGTATTCTTGGGTCTTTCGGTAAAAATCTTGATTTGAAGCTTTCGTGACTGCAGGAATCCATACTCTTTGGTTCTTTCGGTAAAGTCACGTGGGTAGAAAAATAAAATAAACAATAGTCACGTAGGTAGATGTTGACTTGAAGCTTTCATGACTGCAGGAATTCATATTTTTGGGTCTTTCGGGAAAGTTTCAGTTTTTTCAGTTTCATTTATTTGGTATAGCCCTGTGAGCCATTCGGCTCTTGAATCGGGTGCAACCGCAACAAACAAAAACATGAACAAGAAAACATCTTAAAGTGACTATGTGCAAACAGAAAAATCCAGGAAAAAACTGAAAAAATCTTCCAGAAAAAGCACCGTACACCAACGCTGTGTGCAAAAATCCCAGTGGGATGCAAGTCAAACAACAACAACAACCACAAGACAACTTAGATTAAAGCCATCAGTCTAACTTCGTACTACAACAAACAAACATGGCCAAACAAAAAATATTTTAGAAATCACCAAATTAAAGCCATAAAAGCAATATAACAGTGATCATAGGAACTGTGACCAAAATTTCACAATAAACGACATGAACAACATGGATCACCAAACCCTGTAGCCGGAGCGAAACATTTGATTTTAGGCCACTGAATAGCAGTGGCAGCTAGGGGTGTACAACTCCTCTAGCGCAGTTTTGAGTGAAGATCTCATAGATAGTGATTCAAGTTGCAGTTTATTGTCAATAGCATTCCAGATCCTGGGGGCATCAATAGCAAAGGCCCTTCCTCCAGTATATGTACGGCAATAAGGAATGTGAAGCTGGTGAATGAGCGAAGACCTTAGGTCAAATTTGTTCTTCGAAACAGTGAGGAGATCCAGCAGGTAGTGTGCGGATTTTTTTGTAAGTACTTCGTGAATAAATAAGATCTGGTGCACAAGCTGTCGAACATTAAGAGATGTTAAGATGACCCAATGTAAAGATCACAGTGGTGAGTCCTATATGGGCAGTTCAATGCAAATCTTAAGGCCGAGTGATAAATTGAGTCAAGGTTCTTCAGTACAGTACTGGGGGCTGATTTATATACGATGTCACAGTAATCAAGTAGAGGCAGTATGGTAGCTTTTATCAATTCCCAACAGAACATAGGGGGGAAGCAGTGCTTGTGTCGATACAGAAAACCAATTTGAGAGTGTCTCTCTCTGTGTATGTGTCTATGTGTATCTCCTCCATGTGTGTCTCTCTCTCTGTGTCTCTCTCTGTGTATGTGTCTCTCCTCGTGTTTGTGTTTGTCTCTCTCTCTGTATGTGTGTCTCTCTCCGAGCTTGCATTCATTCATACCTGATGACGGTTGCTTGTGTTGCAATCGAAACGTCGTTTTTTATTTTTTATTTCATTATAAAGCACTCTACAACTTTGAGGGAGTCTTCAAAATCTGAAGCGCCCCTGGCTGCAGCCCCTATAGCCCCCAAATTCATATGGCCGCGGTGGTGGCACCTGGCCAGGGGTCGGCAACCTGCGGCTCCAGAGCCGCATGTGGCTCTTTAAGGACTGCGTCATGACGTCATTTATTAAGAACCATCGTCTCGTATTCACATGCATCGGGGCTCTTGAAATATTGAGGTTTTTTTTACCGAATTCTAATCAAATGGCTCTTATTGTTATTGTTTGCTGACCCCAGCACATGGCTAACCCAGTGCTTTTGAGGTGGGGTTGGTAGCTCATGCAGAGATCACCATAACTGCCAAATACATTGATAACATACCTATGGATTTTTGAGGAGTATTCCTTCTACGTTCCAAGTATTAATGAATCAGTGAAACATTCCAACACTTAATGGAAATTTCCTTGGTAAACAGTTACAGTAATAATATGTTTGGTAACATGCCAGAGTAGTTAACTCTTTGATGACAGTATTGTGTATTCAGGAAACTGGCTTTTATTTCTAAAATGTTGTTTTGGGGAAATCCCTTTTGCTGAGCCTATGTTAATGGCTCACAATGCCGAGCAAGGCTCGTTTGTTTGTTCCTTCGTTTCTCAGTCCGCTTGTCCGGGTGAGGGTCGCGGCGGCAGCATATCGAGTAGTGGCGGTCCCCACCTCCCTTTCCCTGGCGACAGACTCCGGCACTACTACACTATACACTACACTATACACTACACTATACACTACTATACACTACACTATACACTACACACTACACTATACACTACACTACTATACACTACACTATACACTACTATACACTACACTATACACTACACTATACACTACACTATACACTACTATACACTACACTATACACTACACACTACACTATACACTACACTACTATACACTACACTATATACTACTATACACTACACTATACACTACACTGTACACTACACTATACACTACACTATATACTACTATACACTACACTATACACTACACTATATACTACTATACACTACACTATACACTACACTATATACTACTATACACTACACTATACACTACTATACACTACACTATACACTACACTATACACAAAGTTCAAAGTTCATTTATTAGGTATAGCCCTGTGAGCCATTCGGCTCTTGAATCGGGTGCAACCGCAACAAACAAAAAACAAAAAACATGAACAAGAAAACATCTTAAAGTGACTATGTGCAAACAGAAAATCCAAGAAAACACAGCAAAATATTTCAGAAAAAATCACAGTACACCAACCCTGTGCAAATATCCCAGTGGGATGCAAGTCAAACAACAACAACCACAAGACAACTTAGATTAAGGCCATCAGTCTAACTCTGTACTACAACAAACAAACATGGCCAAACCAAAAAAACTTTTCGAAAATCACCAAAATAAAGCCATTACACTACACTATACACTGCACTATACACTACACTATACACTACACTATACACTACACTATATACTACACTATACACTACACTATATACTACTATACACTACACTATACACTACACTATTTACTACACTATACACTACACTATACACGACACTATACACTACACTATACACTACACTATACACTACTATACATTGTACACTACACTATACACTACACTATATACTACTCTACACTAATACACTATACACTACACTATACACTACACTATATACTACTATACACTAATACATTATACATTACACTATATACTACACTATATACTACTATACACGACTATACACTACAGCAGCATGTTGAGTAGTGGCAACGGACTCTAGCTCCTCCTGGTTGAATTCCCAGGCGTTCCCAGGCCCGCCGAGCGACATCGTCTGGCCAGCGTGGTCATGGGCCGGCCCCGGGGTCTCCGCACAGTGGGACGTTGCTGCTGCTGCCCGGTAGAGTTCCGTGGGGAGTCAATCGGGGGGCATCCTCACCAGGTGCCTGAACCACCTCAAATGGCCCCTCTTGATCCAGAGGAGCAGTGACTCGACTCTGAGGCTCTCCTGGATTGCCGAGCTCCTCACTCGATCGCGGAGAGTGAGCCCAGCAACCCTGCGAAGAAACCTCATTCTGGCCCTTTGTACTCGCGATCTCATCCTTTCGATCATGATCCAAAGCTCATGACCATAGGTGTGGGTGGGAATGTAGATGAGCAAAGTGATCGTGTTCATTCTTATCTTCGATGTTGTGTTGGACCCTAACAGGAGTGGGGAAGAGCAACGGCAGTGACCTGACTGTGCAGGTGGTGGCGCGAGGTACGGTTGTGTGTCAGGCCACATGTGCCACACACAGGGAGTGCAGGGTAAGTTAGCTTCTCCAAACGTATCTTTGTTCAACTTTGGATACATCGGTCGTTTTTTCTATTTAAGGTATTACTTTATCAATGCTGCCATTTGCATGAGAATTAGCAATTGTTTACCAGGTGTGCTTGCAATGCTTTGGGTAATCATCATTAGAATCGTTCATGATCAATCTTAAGATGTAACGATCCACCTAGCACCTGTACATGAACTGATTTCTTCACTCCTCCTTGGTGGACGTCATTTTGAATGTGTTCGATTCCTTGGCTGCCACTTCATTATTCTCGACCCTCGGCCATTACAATTTTATTTCACGAGAATGAATTTGGCTAGTTCACTGACAATGCCACCTTTATGACTTGTAACTTGAGTCTTGTAACTTTCATGATAATTCTTACAATTGTTGAATAAGACGGCAATATACTTTACCATACAATTAAAATGTTCTGGCAAGTGCGTAGTGTTTAGGGCCTGAGGTTCATTTGTGATTCAGAAATATCTCAGTACAGATCTTTGTTCTGCTGGCATTGCTACTGGCCAACTGTTGCGTATTGCTAGTCCCACGTACCGCTAATTAAGTTCACTCTATTGATGTGTGTTAAATGGTTTCTGATGTTGACACTGCTTCCACTATTGTGGCTACTACGTGCATACGTTGTGCTTAACCCTTTTCCGTTCTGAGACATCTGCAAGGTGCAGGGTGGGTCCCGTTAACTTCTGCATCTCGGAACGCGCAAGCGGCTCAGCATTAATTTTATTTAGAGAGCCGTAGCGCTGGTGTTTTTATAGACATTGTCCTCGCCACAGAGAACTGTAGCGACACGACCGCTTTTTATGATAGTTGGCACCAAACTGTGCCACATGCCCTCCTGCATGGCCTTGGGGTAGCCTTTCTACCGATATAAGTTATTTTATTTAAGTTTTTCTTCCGGTTTCGTTTTGATGATGTATTCTTACGTCATCGGAACGGAATAGTAAAAAACTGATGACGTAGATGTACGTTCCGATGACGTACACGTACGTCATCGGAATGGGCTAGGATTAAGCAGCCGTGTGCGTGACACTGTGCGGGTCAGGTCCTGCACGATGCCGAGGAGAACAGCGTGCTTATTGGCCTCCTGTCGTGTCCGCCGGTCTCAGGAGACGTCAAAGTTCGCTTCCAGTCCAACGCTGTAAGTGCCCGGTTACCGCGCCCCATAAAGCATGTCCTGCTGAGCCAGCCCATTAGAACCATACTCCACATTTAAGGTTCATCGGGTTCAAAACAATCTCAGCCCATCATCTTTTACTGGGCAGAAGATCATCATACACAAGTGCACAGTCTTTCCATTTACAAGCACTGATTAATGTGTGCCAGCTCAATGAGCCACAATGTCCCTTGCTTAATGTGAGAATATCACCTTGGTGGCTCTCCTGCGAATAAATGTCATCAAGTGTATTCCACTTAGGTGAAGGTTGTGTGATTAATGCGATTGCAAGCACAATGCCCAAATCTCCCTCCTATATTCATTAATTTGCAGTGAAAAGAGCGTCACTCTGGATTACATTTTACGAGCACATACACACGGTTTCAACAAAGGAGGCATCATTAATCTTTTAAACAGTCTGGACTTCATCCTTCTGATTCTGGTTTTCACAGCACTTTGTAGGTAAGGGGCACAATAATGTTTGAATAATTGCAACATTGCAATGTGAACTCTGTTGTTTATTGACTGTCATACTCAACTTATAGAATTGCGATTAGATTTTATAATTACATTTTCTATAAAAATTAAAGGTTTTTATGATGAACATCAAAGATAATGTACATCTTTTTGTTAAACCACTGCTGGATAAAGGCTTGCTCCTGCCATATCAGACATACTTCATCATGCTGGCAAGTGCAGGATGGTGAATAGGGGCCTAGGACAAGTTCAGATATTACTTGTCGCTAATATCCGCTGTCGCCAATAATTGAATTCAGGTGGCCGTTTTTACTACGGACAACATTTTATTATAATGCATTTTATTTAATTAAAAACTACTGTATTTAGGATGCCAAAATACTGTCATGTAGATTTTTTTCTGTGGAGATTTTTAATTTCGAATTTATACAAATCACTTATGAAATGTCTTAGGAACTTGTCATCTTGCAAGTTTTCACTGACGTGAAATTCAACATCTTATTTGAGTAAATCTGTGGGTAAGGTTCACAATCCCATTGTCATTATCATAAAAAATTCAAGTTCCCTATTATGAAGTGTAGTTGTTTTAACTGAGCCCATTTGCTACAGGGTATTCCGAAGGGCTATGACAACTGTGCTTTCTACTTTTGGTTCAACACATCCTTCATTGAAAACAACAAGTAAGAGTCCAACATACACCAATCACCAATATTTTCTGTTCAGATATGCAATATAATTAGATAGGCATTTTGCAAAAGATGATTGAAATTAAAGCATATTAAATTAAATGTAACATTTCTGGCACCATAGAGCATTCAATAAGACTGCACTATAGATGGTAGTAAAATTATGAGATCAGAATATGAGCACTTGCCCATGAATTCATAGCCCTTAGGTTATTGTTGATTGAGTCACACTTAAAAGTACCCATATTCGGTTGTGTAATAAAGATGGGGCTTAGAAATAAGCACATAATCCGCACAATAATTGTATTATTCTAGTGTCTTATTAACACGTTTTACACACTATGACTGAATAGCTGTTTTTGTAGACTATTGTAGCTTATTAAATGTATGTTTAATGTCTTTAACATAACAATTATGTCATTATTTATGAAATGGTGTGCTGCACTGAATGGCGGAGATTATAAAATAGTGGAAATGTGTTCTTTCTTGTCAGTTCTGATGTTCGACGTGAGTGTGGCCTTAGCCTTCTTAACGGGTTTGACAGAAAACGTGCTGGTGGTAAAGCATCTGCTGTGACTTGCTCTGTAGGTGTTTTGACAGCGCACGCAGAGGTGTGCAATGGATCACCCATGTCTCGTTCCAGGCTCTACCTCAGCAGGGATGAGTTGGACAATCCACACAAGAAGAAAACGTGGACAATCTTCAAGGATGACTTTGCTGTTGAAGTTTTCTTTACTGATAACAATTGATGAGGTTTTAATTGAGGTTTCGCCAGAATCCTGATATAATGCACATGCTGGGTGAAGAAATACTTCTTATTTAGCATAATGTTTGTTTGACCATACTTGACATTTGTTATGGCAGATTGACAAAGGGCTGTACAAAATATGTCATGGCTAATGATGATTGATACAATGGCATACATATCTAATATATTACCAGAATGCATGTATTACATCCTTAAATATCAGTGTTTAAATTGAAACAGCCATGATGACTATTTACAATATATAATGAATCTCACAAAATAGTAAAATATATAAAATCATAAAAAATGTTTAAATTACAATCGGATTAAAAAGTAATAAAAAAATTTGAATAGACACACATACTGTAGATTAATATATATGTAGTGGTTCCACGGAGGCACACACTAGAGTTTGGAGGCACAACGTTTATTAACAACCCCAACAGGTTAATTCCTAAACGTACACGTCGTTAGACCCTCAACAGGGTAACACTCAACTGTTAACTGGACCCTTACAGGGTAACTACATAACTGGGTCAGGTCAGGAACGTCTGCCTGACCCACGATGCCGAACATAACGACCGAAGATTGACGTGACAACTGATGACCGACGTGACGACCAACGACGAGGAGACGTAGCACGGCGAGTTGATTCCAAAAGATAGCCTCGCTTGCTCTCGGGGCATCCTTTATATGCTGCCGAGCGTGGCCTTACTCCTCCTCCGGCCATGCCCCCTTCTGGATATTTCCAGAAGGATCTGGAACACGCATCACGTTTCCCTCAAGCCCCCTTTTCAACCCCCTTACTACTCCGTGCTGGTCACGTGCCCTCTCGGGTTCATGCAGACTGTCACGTCCTCACGGACCCTCTCTCTGCTCGTCAATGGGACTATGCCCTCTCGGGCCCGCTTCCCTGCCAAGCTTACGCCGTTGCCAGAGGTACAAGACGCGTAGTTACAGGCTTGTGTCAGTAGATGGCGCCCACGCCATGGCGACTCCAATAAAGCCTCTACATAACCCCCCCCCCCCACTTTATAAAAACACAGCCGTCCCGGCTGATGAAAAAAAACCTTAACAAGGAACATTTTTTTTGCAGTAAACAACAACCAACAACCGCCCAACGAACAATAAATACAATATACATAATATGTAAGCAATCCGCGAAAGCGAGAAAAAATGTTAGCAACATACAAGGGCAGACCCAACCTCCGACTGAACCACAACCATCCCCCCCATCTGTGTGTCACCACCCACAAGCACGAGAAGAGCCCGGTTCAGCCAATGACCCCTCCGACTTGCGCGTGTGACCGCCAACAGACAGAGTAGGGATAAACCACGATGGAGGAGGGTAATTTAAAGCAGACGGTCTTATAACGGGTCCTTGTCGCCGGACCCCCAGATGGGGTGGGTGTGGGTTCCCTGGAGGTCCTGGGAAAAACATGAAGATTGCCCAATGGGCGCGGCCTCTCCTGAGGAGAAGAATCAGCTAGCGGAGAAAGAATGAGCGATGGCAAGAATGAGCGATGGCACTCGTTAGTCCATTCCGGCCCGACGCAACGGGTGATGTCGAGGGTGTCAGGTGCTCGGAGCCTGTGGGCGGAACAACAGAACTCCCCTGAGGAACGACCTCAGCGGAAGCATGCCCCAGCTCGTCGGACACACGACACACGGCCCTTGGAAAGTGGAGATGAAGGAATTCCAGCAGGCGAAAAAAGCAGTTTCAGTCGCAACGTGTGAACAAACCAGTGCCTGCGGCCGTAACGAATCCGCACACATTGAGGACTGATAACCTCCACTACTCTGACTGGGCCCTTCCGAGGCTAATTTAGGGGACGTACCCACAGGAACTTGGGGGCAGTGCAGTCAAGCCATATCACCCGGCGTCCAATTGGTGACCGATTAACGGAGCGCCACAAGCCAATCATTGGCCGTCTGACGCAAGGCCGAATTTCCTCGGGATGCCTCCCGTGCCTCGGACAACCGTTTCAGGGTAAGGCGCATAGAATTCGGCATATTTTTAGTGAGCGGCTCTGGGTTCAATTGCATTTTAATTGGGGGATCCTGCTCCCTCCCATACACGAGGAAGAATGGAGAGAACCCGGTGGAAGCATGAGGGGCCGATATATAGGCCGCGAGAACACCCAGAACATGTAAGTCACAGTCGGACTGTGCTTCATTGACCTTCTGACATAATATCGAGGTCAGGGTCCTGTGCAAATGTTCCACCATACCATCAGTCTGAGGGTGATAGGGCGAAGTTCGAACCTTCTTGGTGGCCAACAGATCGCAAACCTCCTTCAACAGTTTGGATGAAAATGTTTTGCCTTGGTCGGTAAGAAGGCGCTCCGGAGCCCCCTTATCCAACAAAATAGCCGTGAAGGAATGCGTCCGTAATCATCGCGGCCGACTGGTTCGGCACTGGCCAAGCCACCGGCCAGCGCGAGAGGTACTGCACCCCGACCAAATATTCATTTCCACGCGGGGTGGTGGGGAACGAGCCGAGCACGTCGAGTGCGACTAGTTCGTTGACGCGGGATACCACTATGGATTTCAAGGGTGGGCAGCCCATCCTTGGTGGAGGTTTTCGGCGAGCGCATTCTGTGCATCCCTTCAAAACATTATAAACGTCACCAGCCATCCCGGGCCAAAAAAAGTTAAGTTGGAGAGTCAGCAATGTCTTCCGGAAACCCAAGTGCATCAAGTGCTCGTGTGTAGCCCATATAACCTTGCCCCGCATAACAGTGGGCACGACGATATTAAACCTTTGTAATTTCCAGTCCCATTGCATCAGAAGACCCCCCCCTAGCCGTGGTCAGGAACCAACATCACGTCGCCGGCTCCTTCGTGCAGTGCCCTCCTCCAGTCCCCAGGCCAGTTGTATAACATTCCTTAAGTGAAAAGTTGACTTCTTTCACGTTGATTATATTTCAGTTCAAAGGGGAGTAACACTTAATGTATTTTATTTTGTAAACTGCCACCTCCCCCTAATAGCCAATGGGTCCAGAGCAGAATTCGGTATCAATGGAGGTGGCACATAACCTAGGGTTCGGGTTTTGGGTGAGAGGTTAGGGTTAGGTTTAAGGTTAGGGTTATTTAGGTTTGGGTTAGGGGTGAGGATTTGGATAGGGTTAGGTTAGGGTTAGGGGTTAGGGTTCGTCGTTAGGGTTAGGCGTTAGGGTTATGGGTTATTCCATTTTAATGTTTCTATAACTTAATTTGACTATGTTTTTCCAAAGTAATTTGTCTAAAGTAAATTGTTCAAAGTTATTTATGCCAGAAAATGTATGTATTTAATATTGATTTAAGTTCGTGCTCTGCTGATTTCTATTTTGTTCTGAATTTTATGAGGTTGTTTTTGCTCTGATTGCCACTTTGACTATCCATGTCCTTTCAAATTTTAAAACGGTTAAACAAAATACACTTAATCAGAATCTTTATTTAGACTGGAGGAATCCGATGAGCTATTAAGCTCTTCTTCACAGATGACCAGTAGGGGCTGGTCAACATGTTACAGCAAACAGTACAAAAAAACGAAACACGATTCTAGCCACAATGGAGGCTGTACAGACAATCCTGGTCCCCGACCCACCTTCTTGAGGATCGGGCTGGCGATGGACTGCAGCTCAACTGCTACTCTCATGTCTGTTCTCATAAATTACACATGCACCCATGTGATCATTAATAAAATGACACAGAGCGAAAGTTACACAGAATAGATAAACACGATACATACAACATGCAGGAGATAAAACAGCCATCATACACACATAAAACATGAATCAACAACACGTGTGAAAGACATGACACACACTTGTACAAATGATACACGTACATATAGACAGGTGCACACACACAATCACAACCATAAATGAATTGCATCGGTGCACAGGAATTCAAATTGTACTCCTTAAAAACACTCTCTCACACTCTCTCACACTCTCTCACACTCTCTAACACTCTCTAACACTCTCCCACACTCTCTCACACTCTCTCAGACTCTATCTGACTCTCTAACACTCTCACACTCTCTCACACTCTCTCACACCCTCTCACACTCTCTAACACTCTCTCACACTCTCTCACACTCTCTAACACTCTCTCACACTCTCTCTGACTCTCTAACACTCTCTCACACTCTCTCACACTCTCTCACACTCTCTAACACTCTCTCACACTCTCTCACACTCTCTAACACTCTCTCACACTCTCTCACACTCTCTCACACTCTCTCACACTCTCTAACACTCTCTCACACTCTCTCACACTCTCTCACACTCTCTAACACTCTCTCACACTCTCTCACACTGACAGCGGCAACTGCTGGCGAACTGTGTTGGCCTCCACTGCACATGTCCACCACATAGCAGACGTCACCACGAATTGAATGCTTGTGGTAGTAAATCTTGACTTGTGGTACTGCATTTGTCCACCAGAGGGCACACGTAACACGTCAAGCGCCGGGAAAAAAACAAAACTAAACTCTGCGGCCGATTTGCATTGCAATTCTTTATTTCTTCACGGATTTTCAAGTAACAAACGATTGCATTGACATTCCAAGCTGTCCTATACGTTTACACCGTTGAATATTTGGTGGACATCGGTGCTGAAATAGTGAAACGCACTGCATTTCCAAACAGTGTGCTTCAAATCGGCAACAATCACAGACATCATCGACTTCAATGCAAAATGCCGCCCCGGTTCCACAAGTCACACAACAAGCAAGTGGTGTGTGCCCTTCGACTCTACTCGACCGAGTCGCGCCATATACAATTCAACTCATCTCGCTGAGACGCGTTTAAAGGCATATCAATTAGGGTTTGGGATTAGGGTTAGGAATTCGGGTTAGGGTTTAGGATTAGGGGTTCGGGTTATGGTTAGAGTGCGGGTTAGAGTTATGGTTAGCGGTTTAGGTTAGGGGTTTAATTTAGGGTTAGGGGCTAGGGTTTAGGTTAAGGGATTAGGGTTATGGCTGAGGGTTAGGGTTGGGGTAGTTAGGATTAGGGCACCTATGCAGTTTTATGCCAAAATCATCCAAATTTTCATAGCTACATTTTCCAAGAAAGAGTGAATTCCTCCCTTTTGTTTAACATTAGAATGCTATATATTACATTAAAAGTGGGATATTTCACCATGAACATTTCATGTAAAAAAGAAGCAAATCGGCATACCGTTTTTGGCCAAAATTG